CTCGGCCGAATTGCAGTGCAAACACTCCTACCACGCCCGCTGTCTAGGTGAGGCAGAGAACGAATGCCCCTCGTGTGCGCGAGCTTACGGTGTGGTAAGGGATATCCGCAAGAATAATCAGGAGATGGCTAGTAGGCATGACTTGTGAGTTCAAAGGCCGCAGATGAAGTAGCTCCCTGGACAACCGCAAGGAATGGTGATACTGACTCTCCCAGCTTCTGGCACCTGATCATCGGCAGGTTCCTACAAGAAGTACGCGAAGCAGACGACCCTTTTCAAGCCGTCGCGAGCATGTTCAGTCGAGGCGTCTTCTCTCAAAGGGCGCTTGCTGCTTCTGCCGAGGCATCGGCCGAGGCTGCTGCTGCTACTTCTGCTGCTACTGGTGCGGGTGAGACGTAGGCGGTTGACCCGAGGAGTGGTTTGGATCGAGCAGTGCAGGCATGGTTTTGTGTATATGCATATATGTGGTTGCAAGAAGGAAATACAAGGGAAAGATGCGGGAGGCGGGTAGAGGCGTTGGACAGGAGAAGAGACAGGAGAGAGAGAGGAGGGGCAGCGGGCCATTTGTACATTCTGAAGGAGGGTGACTGCAGAGCGTGCAGCGAGGCGAGGAGTGGAGCAGAGCAGAGCAGAGTAGAGTAGAGTAGAGTATATAATGCATCCATACCAATCCTTCCCCTTGGCGTCTCCCTCTATCCACTTCAGTGTCCCCCCTCCATCATCAACAATCCAAATCCTCCTACAATGAAGCAGCACCCCACCAGTGAAACGATTGAGAATGCGCCCCGAAGGAGAGCATCAAAGATGGCTACGGCGACTGTGCTTAAGAGGCAGGAGACAGAGGCGGTCACTGGACCCCAGAGGGCGAGGAGGAGCATGAAGCAGGCATTGAAGATGACTGGTGGGCGCGACCGAAGGAAGTGGAGGGGAGGGGACAAGAGAGGCGAGGAGGAGGAAGTGAGCGATGTGATGGGAGGAAAGTCGAGTGGGCGCAGTGCGCTTTACTCACCTCCTGAAAAGACTACAAAGAGAATGGCAAATACAGTGACTGCATTGTGCGGTAGCTCAAAGGGCTCCCAACCGGTCAGGTGGGCCACGAGCTGCATGTGGTCGAAAGAGAACGCATCGGTTGTCAGTATCTGTCCATAACCTCATCAAGTACACACAGCTGCCTACTTCGACCCAAAGTGCAACTCACCACACCAATCCAAAGCGTCCCCGCCGTCACCACTCCAATTCCCGTCGTCATGATGTTCGCATGCAGACCAAAGGGCAGCGGAGGTGGGATCCACATTTGCTCACTGGCGTCTCTGGCCATGGACCTCGCAACCGCACCGGAGGAGGAGGAGGCGGAGTGATGCTGGCGACTCTCGCGGGGGACCTCTCGAAGAGTCTCGTCTGGATCTTGCTCCCCATCTTCTTCCTCGCTATCAGCGGAATCTCCGTGCTGATCGTGATCGTATGGAGTGTCCTGATCAAATAGGACCGTCCTTCGCTTACCAGCTCCTCTCCCAGAGCCCGCGCCTGCCTTCTTTGACGATGAAAAAGGTCGATTGCGCCCAAGTCTTGTTCCTCCAGCCAGAATCTCCTCTTCATCTCCAGATTGGAGAACACTCTCCGTCTCCGTCTCTGTCTCGGTTTCCGTCTCAATTTCTTCATCTTCGTCTGACACTAGTGCGGATCTCGCCCTGCTCTGTCGAGTGCGAGATTCGCCAGTAGCATTGCCAACGCGTCTCCGGTCGCTAGCGCTAGCCTTCAATCGGTCCTTAACGGCCTCAACGCTGAGCGGATCGCTCGGCATCCCTCGACTGCCACGACGACTACCACCGCCCCCGTCTGCACTACTGGCCCTCTTCGACCCGCTGCCTAAGAAGGCGCCATTCTCAATGGAGAGGAAGGGCGAGCTAGCACCAGACCCGTAGTCCGGTGGTACTCGAGCGCCACTGCTGTCGGCAGCCGCAGGAGAGACGATATCGCCAGAGGGGGACCAGATAGCGGAGCGCTCGGTTGACTGCTTGGGGACAGAGAGGGAGCCGCCGGCGCCGCCGGCCTCTGGGGACTCGGCGTCGGATAGGCCGAGGACGTGGTTACGCTCCTTTCTCCCGCGCTTGCTGGAGTGCTTGGAGCGAGGATCGCGCTCCTGCTCCTCCGACTCGGCGAGCAACTGCTCCTCCTCATCCTCGTCATCAGCTTCGCCACTGACGATCCGTTGATGCCTCGAGCTCGGCCTCGATCCCGCTCTCGATCCCGCCCTGGACCGTCTACCAGCACCGCTGCTACCGCCCTGCGCTCGATCCCACCGCTTCTTCTGGCCTTCCTCGTCAGGGAGTGTGCCGAGGAGCTTGAAGGCCATCTCGTACGCAGCCATTGTGATTGCTCCAAAGAGGGCAAGCAGGTCCCCCAAGAGGGGATTTGAAGCAGAGTCCTCCGGAGAGGGAGAGGGCGTAGAAGTTTCCGCACGTGCTTGCTTCAGAGTAGCACTCGCTGCAGTGGGCCTCCGTGGCACGAACTCGAGGACTTGATCATCCCTGGCATCCGTCTCGCGTTGCGCAATCTCAGCCAGGCGAGCCTCCACTGCTTGTGTAGGGGTGCGTTCAGCGCCGGTGCCGCTGACTGTCGATGTGGCCAGAATAGCAGAAGAGGCAGAAGAGGTCGCCGAGGGCTTGCCATAGACAGGATCGAGCTCCTTGGGCCGTCTCCTGTGCTCTCCCTCCTCACCGCCTCCATATGCTACGACGATGACTCCTCCACATGCGAGGAGGACAGAAGTGACCTTGTACTGTTATCGGGGGAGGTCTGTAGGTCAGCCAATACGCTCCTTTGTGTCGTTCGTCTCTCCACTCACCCTGCTCCACTTTTCCCCAAAGAACCACACGCTAAACACCAATGCCCACACACTAAAGGTATTGTACAGCGCGGTAATATCCGCCATGGAGGTCATGGGTACAGCGCAGTACCAGCTGAGAGCAGGTACGGTAATGGCTCCCATGAGCGTCAGGAGCATTAGTATGAGTTTGGGGAGATCAAAGCCAAAGGTTCGCTGGGCGGCACTCTTGTAGGGTGGGGGGCCGGGTATGCTTGAGGCTAGGTGGGGATGGGAGAGATGCAGCGAGTCTCGGAAGGAGATAGGACGACTCAGTGACGGCCTACTGGCAGATTGCGACTGCAGATCCTCTTCCTCTTCGTCGAGATGAGCTTCTACACGATCAGAGTAGCCCATTCGTCCATCTCTGCCGCTGTGCATACTGAGTCTCCTCCTAATGTCTTCTTGAACCTTCCCTTCTACATGCCTGGTGGGTGTGCTGAGCTGCCAGTGGAGGTTCTGTGCAATGATGTGAAGGTAGTGACTGTAAGGGAGCTTGGTGGTATACCTGAGGAAGAGCAGATGGAGCGGGAGCAAGATTGTGAAGCCGGAGTGGCCGAGGTACCTGAGAGAGGAGAAGGATATGGAGGGAGTGGTGAGCAGCAGAGGCGGTAAGGTCAGATTCGGATGGATAGCTTGCAACGAGTCTCTTTCTCTACTCACAGGCTGAGAAATGGCTTGCGGTATCCGAGTCCCTGCTGGACATATTGCGCTGCTTCGGTCTGGAGTGTGTATGCTACAAGGGAGAGTCCAAAAGCGAAGAGAGCCTGTGAGGCGAGGGTGAGGGGAGAACCGTCAGTCATTGCTTCATAGCAGGTGCGTCCCCTGGAGTATACACACTGGTCTGCCTCCAGGCAAGCTCGAGAGCCTTCCCGACTGCTTTGGCACAGGCGGCTCAAAGACGTTGGACAGTTGCCGGGCCATGGCGGGTCTGTTGTGGTCGCCGGCGACCATTGCGGCGGCCAAGGAAGAGAGTGGAGGTAGCAGGGCGAGGGGATGACGAGAGGCGGGGGGAGAAGTGGTACTTCGGGCGCTATCTCAGCCCTGTAGAGTGGCCATACCAGGGCTAGTCTGCGGTGAGGTGAGTGGTATTGATTGTCCCCTTTGTGTTTTCGCAGCGGGAAGCGGTCGCCCGTGTTTCTTGTTGCCCTGTGCGAGAGTGCAATTGCAACTCCGCTTCGATTGGTCCAGATTCTGACCACTTTGGCTGAACAAGGCGAGGCGCTTTGTCCTTCCCGCAGACCAGAGGGGGAGAGAGAAACGAGACAAGGCAGGCAAGTTGCTGCTCGTCTCTTATACCAGAACACCCTACGTCTGGTCCGCAGCCATCATCGTCTCTGCCTCGAAGGAGACAAGATGAACGGCGTCGGCTTCGTGTCCAATGCGAGCAGCAGAGGCGCCTTCGCTCTCCTCTTTCCGAGCACATCTTCCTCTTCCTCCTCGCGATTACCAGCAGCAGCAGCAGCAGCCTCTACCTTCTTCCAGACCAGCAATACGACGACAAGAGGCCACTCTACTGCTCGGATACCAAGCTGGACAAGAAGGTGCGACGGCCAGAGTGACAGATCGATATCCTCGGTTACGCCGTCCAGTCTGCAGCAACTGATACAAGCGGCCAAGGATGCAGCCGTGTTCTCCTGGCCGCATTACCTGCAGGGAACAGTAGATAGAGCAAAGCCGTCTTTGTTAGCAGCAGCCAATTCGATCTCTTCGTTGAATTGCTACAGCGACGTCCTCTCCAGCCATGCGGTGCTCAGTAGACCATCACGGTCCACAGCTCCAGCTGCGAAGGGCTCACTGAAGAAGCGGGCAGGAGGACCAACACGGCCTCTTCTACCCTCCCAGCCTCCTCGTAAAAAAGCTACTCCTCCCGCTCCTCCCCCTTCACCACGGCCTGAGGAATCGCAACCTCCTGCTCCGCCTCCTGGCAACAGTGCATCCTCTTCGTCTCGACCGCCTCCGCCGCCATCGCCTCCTGCGGAACCGCGACCCTACATCCCACAACCCTCTCAGAGGACTGCAACACAAACTTGGTACCACGCTCCCGACACTGGTCCTCACAGTAGCTCTCCTGGCTCCCTCTCCTGGTACATCTCCCAAATCGACCGACTTCCCACCCCTCTTCTAATCTACAGTCTCATAGCCCTCAATCTCCTCATCTTCTTCTCCTGGCAATATGCCCTCACTTCCTCCCGCACCAAGCAAGGAGACCCAACCTGGCCGCTCTTTATGATGAATAACTTTGTACACAGTCAAAGAAATTGGGAAGAGGGGAGATGGTGGAATCTACTCACGGCAACGTTCAGTCATGCCATTCCCCAGCACTTGGGAATGAATATGCTCTCGGTAGCACTCATCGCGCCTGCGCTCGCGATGAAAGTCGGCTCAGCAAACTTCCTAGGAGTATACCTGCTAGGAGGAGTAGCAGGCTCGCTAGCCTCTTCGCTCAATTTCCTCTGGCTAGAACCAAAACTCCAACCTAATCAAATTCTCAAGCGCCCAAGGCCAGAAGGAGGTTACTCGACACTAGGCGCCTCCGGCTCCGTATTCGCCCTATTGGCAACCCTCACCTTCCTAGATCCAAGACAGCGCTTCATGTTCTTCTTCATTATTCCATGCAGTGCTCGTATCCTCCTAGGTGGAATGACACTGAATGAACTTGGAGGCTTGTACTTTGGAAGGGATTTATTGGGACAGCTCTTTGCAGGAAAGACGGATCATGCGGCGCATCTGGGGGGAATGGTTGGAGGGGTGGTGTATTGGGCTTGGAAACTTAGAGGGAGGGGGAGAGGATTGAGATGGAAGTGAAAGGGGGGGGAGGGGGGAAGTAGAAGGTGAGAGGGAGGAGGAGGGAGAGCCACGGAAGAGGAGGAGGCCTCATGTGGCGAGAATGTAACATTGTACTATAGACTGTTGGAGACACCTGCTTCACCAATCACGACGGTGTACTAGATCATGTCAGACCGGACGGAGTGAGTCGGCGAGAGAGCGCTTTGCCGCCAAGGGCCGGCCATGCAAAGGGTGGGAAATACGTGGTACAATTACATCAGAATCGAAAAAGTGTCTACACGAGGAAGTGAAAGCGGCCGTGGTCCTCTCCCTTGTCCCTCTCTCGCTAAGAGCTCACAAGCTCACAAGCTCACAAGCTCACAAGCTCACAAGCTCGCCTCTCCCTCCTCTCGTTCCTCTCCCTCAATCTTGTCCCCCAGTAATGTAGTCCTCATTCTCCGCCGCCTTGTATTCATTCATCAAATCAACTACACATTCCCTCGCCTCATCAAATTCATCAAAGTTATCCTTGAACATCCTCTGCTTCTTGTATTCTCCCAAAAAGGCATTCCTCCCCTTGAGACGATCGAATTGCATCACGGTTCGTTTTAGCAGGGCACCCATTCCAGTGTGATTTGCGAGCATCAGACCAGAGACGCGGTGTGTGTTTGAGGCAAAGGGACTCTTCTTTGTTAGGGCGACTTGAATCGAGGCGGGACCCCAGGGGATGAAAGTGGCTAGATCTCGCTCACGAATCCGCAAAAGGGACTTGTGCACCTCGCGGGGATCTACATCGCCGGAGATGAGGTTGAGAATGGAGATGTAGCACGAGGATTTAGAGGAGCCTTGGATTGAGACCATGCGATTCTTGGGCTGGAGGAGACGACGCATCACGTCTAGGACGGATGTCTTCATGGTCATCTTGCCGCGGTCGACAGTGTCGGATGTGAAGGGTGTGTAGGATGTCATGAGGAAGTGGCAGCGAGGTGTTGGGATGAGGCCCGACAGAATGCCAGTCTGAGGGAGAGCGAAGAGAGAGAGATCGTCAGCATCTCTGCAAGCCTTGCCGTTGGGATGCTCAGTGATCCTCCTTCCCACTCACCAGATCGTTGTTCATGTAGCCTGGATATCTCAATGTCCTAGTTGCAGCCCCCATCACAGTCGACACGAGTTGATTCTGTTGGCTATAACTCGAATCCGAGCTATTCAGCCTATCCGCCGCAATCCTAGCCAGCGCAGCATTGTCGAGTGCAATGACTGCGTCTGCCTCTTGCACCAGTCGCTTGATGGCCAAGACGGAATTGTAGGGCTGCACGACTACATCGGACGTCTCTTCATTGTTTGGAAAGACGGAGTAGGTTTGGACGATCTTCTTGGGGAAGTGTTCCTTGAGCCGCTCTAGCAGGAAGGAACCTAGTCCTGAACCTGTACCTCCTGCTATCGAGTGGATCAATTGAAAGCCCTGGGGAAGAGCAAGCATGAATGATGGATGTGTCAGGCCGATACAGATAAGCTTGCATATTCGAGCGTCTTTCTCATCTCCTCTGGTCACTCACCTCTAGCGAATCACTTCCATCTGCCTCTCGATCAATCATGTCCACCAGCTCCTCTGCCACCCTCTCTCCAGACTCGTATCCTAATGCCCAATTGTTACCCGCTCCACTTCCATCTTTGGAGGTATAGATGTTCTCTGGATTATAGAGGTTCTTGTATGGCCCTGAGCGAATGCCTGCAATGACCTGAGGTGAGTGGGTGGGTGGGTGAGAAGAGGGCAGGTAGGCAAGCGTACAGAATAGATGATCAGCCCTGTGAGCGCGCCCTGCTCTTCGCTTCTGACATCTTCCTTCTCCTGCTCCTCATCAATGCTACCACTCACTCTGGGCTCCATATCAATCAGGATCGCCCTGGGCACGTAATGATCATCATCGGCCTGGTAAAAGAATACGTCCTTTCTATCCCCCGCATCAATCCCCACTGCATGGTCCTCGAGTGTACCATCCTGGGCGATTCCGTGGTCTTTACATAGGAACTCCCAGAATTGAGATCCGATTTGATTGCCGCATTGACCTGCCTGTATGGAGATGAGTTCGCGGGGCATGTCCGGGGGTGCAGTGGGTGGGGTGACGCGGGTGGGCTAGGAGAGTGGGGCGTAGAGGGAAGAATACCGCGTTGTGGTTGGGTGGATGTTGGGTATGTATACTTAGCAGATGCTAACAGAGCCCTTCTGTGAGCCTCTTGAGGGCAGTGAGTGGCGGTAGTGATGGGTCAGGTTGCTCGTGGTATGCTGCAGCTACTTGATGGTGGTGGTGGTGGTGGTGGTGATTGTGTCTCGTGCTTCTTTCCGTTGCCCAACACCGTGACGCGTGAGGGCAAAGAGGTGGGTGAGTGGAATCCGCCTGGGTGCCCTGCTTCCGTTCCGAGGTGAGGTGTGCGCGCAGCGGGAGCAGGGGAGACGAATTGCAGGGCGGCGAGAAAAATCTTGCAGGGCAGAGGAAGGAAGGAGTGGCCTTTGGCCGAGGGAGGAAGTGGTGCTGCCCGCCTGCCCGCACAGGAGGCTCATCCCGAATACTTCTGAGCCACCAAGACATTCTCAAAAGTAGAGCCAAGGCAGACTTTACTTCCATTGCTACCCTCGTCCTACTCATCCATAGAGCCTTGCTCATCTTCTTCTTCCTCTTCGCGTATACAGAGCTAAGCCTCACCCAGACCCACATCCAGGTCTCAGCTTTAGCTCCCAGCTCCAGCTCTCGAAGCTTGAGCACATCTCGCAAACTACAGCTCCCGCTCCACACTAAGCGCAGCTCACACTACAGCAATGGCATTCGGTTAGTATCCTTCGTGTAGACTCTCGGGAACAACAGACACAGCTTCTGTCACTCTTGCGTCCTTGACAAGAGCTACGCAGCTATCTCAGCCAGCAACCTACTGACCTTGCCCGCTCCTCTCACTCTTCCTACCACTTTCTCTCTCTTCCACTCTTCAGGCGACCGAGGAGGACGAGGCGGAGGTGCACGAGGTGGTTCCAGAGGTGGCAGGGGCGGTGGCGGTGACCGTGGCGGCCGTGGCGGCTTCGGCGGTGGTCGTGGTGGAGGTCGTGGTGGCTCCTCTTTCGGTGGACGAGGCGGCGGCAGGGGTGCTCCCCGTGGAAGGGGCGGAGACCGTGGTCGTGGTGGTGACCGCGGCCGTGGTGGTCGAGGTGGTCGAGGTGGTGCAGCTGGTCGTGGTGGCGCCAAGGGTGGATCCAACGTCATCGTCAAGCCTCACCGACATGCCGGTATCTTCATCGCAGAGGGCAAGGAGCACCTTCTCGTCACCCGCAACATCTCTCCTGGTGAATCCGTCTATGGAGAAAAGCGAATCTCAGTCGAAGGAGCTCCTACCGAGGAGGGAGGTGCACCTACCAAGGTCGAGTACCGAGTTTGGAACCCCTTCCGATCCAAGCTCGCAGCTGGTGTTCTAGGTGGATTGGACCACATCCACATTGCTCCCGGTTCTAAAGTCCTCTACCTGGGTGCTGCCTCTGGAACATCCGTCTCTCACGTAGCCGACGTAGTAGGACCCGAAGGAACCGTCTACGCTGTTGAGTTCTCTCACCGCTCGGGACGAGACTTGATCGGTATGGCCAAGAAGCGGACAAATGTCATTCCCATCATTGAGGATGCCAGGCATCCCCAAAAGTACAGACTGCTCCTACCCATGGTCGACACCATCTTTGCCGACGTTGCCCAACCAGACCAAGCTCGAATCGTGGCACTCAATGCTTCTCATTTCCTCAAGAATGGAGGTCACGCCGTCATTTCCATCAAGGCATCTTGCATCGATTCTACAGCCGTACCTGAAGCAGTTTATGCTGGAGAGGTAAAGAAGTTGGTAGAATCGGAATTCAAACCAAGGGAACAATTGACATTGGAACCTTATGAGAGGGATCACGCTATGCTCGTTGCAACATACAGGCCGAATGCTGCCGTTGCCAAGTAAAGGAACTTGGAACTTGCCGATGCACATTCTCTCAAGGGTGGCAGTAGTAGCTGAGGTTGGATTGGATTGGATTGGTTGCGGTCCTCCTTGTTGTCATGTTTTTTAGTTAGTACTTCTCTTCTCGCTTCGCTTTGCATCCTATTCCATTGCCCGATCAATAATCGTCTGCTTGCTCGCTCGCTTGCTCGCTCTTACTTGTGGATCATGGTTCAGGCTCACTCTGACGCTCAGACTCAGACTCAGACTCAAGCAAAGCCAAAGCCAATGCCCAAGAGCAAAAGGGGGGTATGTATGGTCTTTTTATTGCAGGTGCGAAAGGATGGGGGAGAGAAGCAGGACAACATTGAAAGGGGGGAATCTATAATTCGTGCGGCGAGGCGTTAAGGTGTCGTGACAAGGGTGTCGTAAGCGTGGGTAGTAATGACTCTACAGTCAGTCAGTCAGAAGTCAGATGGGTATGATGAAGATGGCGTGTCGTCGAAGACGACTTGGAGCTGCTTTGTCTCGCGCGAGAAAGCGAGCCGATGGAGGTCAGGGGGTAAAGGGAGGTAGGGTATTGCTGGTGGCATTGGCATTGCCACTGTCACTGACACGGGTGCCGCGGCCATTGGCGAGTGGCTCGTCAAGACCCTCAGGCTGGTGGGGCTCCAGAATCTTCATCCTCGGACTCAACCTCAGGGGGATGGGCCCATGTGAGCTGCTTGAGCAAGACAGGCCATACTTCTCCCAATCCCGGGTGTGCATGCCCTCTAGCAAAGACGGACTTCAACGGCGACCCTTTCCTGATCGTCTTCCAATTTCGAAGGAGATAGTCGACTTCGATCTTGAGAATGTCCGGGTAGCGACAGGTAAAGGAGGAAAAGGCCTCCCAGACAATGTTCATCGAGTCCAGGTGAGTTGCAATGTGCTGGTGAGCACGCGACTTTAGGTCGGTAAGGTTGAGCTTGTCTGCCAGACGATACATCGACTTGGCCGAGCAGGCAGTGGGTCGATCAGGATGCTTCTGGTGGAGCATGTCGATGATTGCTTGGCGTCTCTGGTGCGCCTTGAGCATGTCTTCGCAAAAATGTGCAGGAGAGACTCGATCGGATAGTGGTCCTCTGACCGGATCGCGGTCTGACTCGCCTAGCTCGATGAAGCTCGATGTGAGAGGAGCAAATTCAACCGTATCGGTATAGAGGTAGAAGAGCAATGCCTTGAAAGTGGTGTAGGAGCTGTCCCTCACCACAACTTTGCGTCGCTTCCTCTTATCAGAGCGGAGGGAAGAGCTCGACTGACCGGCCTCCGTCGCCTCGTGATTGGCGGTCCTTGATCGCTCGCGCTTTCCGCGCTTAGAGGGAGAGGGGGTAGCGTCTGCAGGGCTACCGGGCGAGCCCTCAAGAGAGATGTCCGAGACGCTCTGCCTCACCTCGCCGACCGTCGTCTGGCCAGCGTCTCCAGCGCTATTTGTATTGTCCTGTTCTCTGGGCGCTCGCTCAGCTGCAAGGGCGCTTACCCTCAGGACTTGGTCCTCTTCGTCGTCTGACAATATCTCGATCGGATGAAGCTGGCGCTTTGAGTGCCGTGTGATAAAGGGCATGTCTAGCTCAGCGTCTGAATCGTCCAGCAAAGGCTCATGGCCACAGTAGTCATCGTCATCTAGACCGGCCATTCCCCCGACCCCACCGGTTTGTCGACGATCGTTACCGGCGAAGGCTGGGCCAGAGTTGGCGTTGCGGTCATAGACTGAAGCGCTAGCAGAGGAAGACGCAGCCATCCCATTGCTGGGAGAAGCAGGCGTCTGGACAGGGCGAAAAGAGGCATCGTCTGCTGCGTCTGAATCGTCATCAGCCTCGCCTTCTTGGAAGCCGCTTTCAAACATGTCCCGGAAGTATTTCGATCGCGCGGCGAGGACTTTCTTCATAGCATAGATCTTGCGAGTGGGCATCTTGGGTCGACCGGGAGGACGCTGGGAGACGGACGGCTTGATGAGGAAGACGACGTCACTAAGATCTGGATCATCGAGGAGAGATCCCACCGACTTAATCAGCGTTGAAGGAACAGTGATAGCCTCCGGCCTTTCAGTGCGGGGCTTCTCTGATTCGGGGTGAACGCTGACGGTGATGAGGAAGCCGTCGGCCTCCTTGACTCTTGCATTGGCATAGAAGGTGGCGTCACGCTTGGCAAATTGTGCCCATCCCCAATTGGACGTCGTGGAAGAATAGGCATGGGAGTGGGCCTCCTTGGTACCGATGGTCATGGTCTTGTCGAGTGTCTGTAGAGTGAACGTGAAGCTGTACAAGCCTTCTCGTACCCATTCCTGCTCCGAGAGCTTATTCTGCATCAAACCAGCGGGTAGCCTCCTTTCTTCTTCGAGAGGCTCAGCATTGAGGTAGAGGGAGCAGAACTGATGGGCGGACGGATAGTAGTGGGACCATGGCAGAGGAAAAATCAGCTCCGCTGCTGACCACCGTAGGACGAAGCTCATTTCGTGGACTCACCTGATCAAGTCCGCTCTGAGCGTAAAAGAGTACAGCCCACCTTCCTCCTCCAAAGGTGACCGATTTGACCACCTTGGACTTGACATCTGCCCTACTACTATCGAAGAGCTGCCTGAGTCCAGTGAGGGGCTAGAGGAAGAGAGGGTGTTGATGACAGCGTAAAACATGTTTACAGATCAATATTGTGCATCTATCAAGCGCTATGCTCAGCATATATGCTGTCTGCTCACCCATTCGAAGATGACTGCACGGGGCAGGGACGCCGGGAAGTGGGGTGAATGAAGAGGGTCAGCTCACTGGGGAAGTCGAATTGCTTGTGGAAGCTTCCCTCCTTCACGGCTCATTCTTACTCACGAGAGTGCGTCTCACTAGGTCCAGCAGGCATCTTCATTCCCTCTCCTCTAGCTCTACTCGATCCTGATCCTGAGTCTGCTGAATGAGTATCACTGGAGAGCGATGCTGATGCTCTTATAGAAGCATATATCCGGGCTGCAGAGGCTGTTTGGCTGCCTTCCCGCGTGGTACGGGAGGCGCTGAGGTCCATGTACTGAGGGCACGATTCAAGGGACTATGAAGAAGGATCTGAGCGGGAGCTTGGGATGAGGGTGGGCAAGGTAGTAGCTGGCTTAGCTGGGGAGATGGGGCAGGCGACTGTGTGTCTTGATCGTGGGAGCTCGAGGGGAGGCTGAGAAACAGGGATGATATGGCGAGGAAGCAGAGGTGGTCGTCGTCGACGATAGTGATGGTAGAAGTCGTGGCAGAATGGGACCAAGGGGTGAATGAGGCTGCCGAGTGAGTACAGAGTGGACCTCCTTCAACCCTTGGCCGCTCACCTCGGAAAGGCGAAGCGAGCAGCACCTTGGCACGGCCCCAGCCAGACAACTCGGATTCACACTCCGCTCCCATGCATGGACACTTTTTGGACGATCCATCAGCGAGGACGAGCAACGGAGGTACCTTCTTCCACTTCAATACCAGCGACTCACCACCTTCCCTCCCTTCAAGAGCAGTACCTTCAGCATGTTCTCTCCCTCCCCCTCTTCCTCCTCGTCTCGCCCCTCTTGGTCTGCCCGTCTAAACGCCCCCCGTCCCATCTTCCTAGGATGGACAGCCATGATCTTCATCGCCGGCACGTCCTACTGGTTTGTAAAGGAGCGCAACCTCCAAAAGCGAAAGACGATTATGCGACGGGAGGCTGAGGAGAAGAGGAGGGAGCTAGCGACGAACTCGGAGATTTCAGGAGGAGGGATTTCGCAAAGTGGTACGGGTGGAAGTGACGTCGAGGGCGAAGACGGGGAGCGCACAAAGGAGGCTTCCCTTGCACGGTACCTTGCGCAGGGCGAGCGGAGGGAGCGGCAGGAGAGCGGGCAGGCTGGTGTTGGCGGGGCGGGAGCTGGAGCGGCACAGAGCCCGTTGCAGAGCTTGCTGAACCAGCTCAATAGACAGACATCACAGCGTAGGAGAGGAGGCGGAGGAGAGGAGTGAGCCTAGTCAAGCTGAGCTAAGAAGAGAGTTGGGTCAGACGAACATCGCTCCGCAAGTGAGGCTACAGGGAAGACAGACAAGCGCAAGGAGCGAGGGAAGAAATGCAAGCAGCATAAATTGAAGACGCCACGACGCGATGCCGAGCAACGTGGAGACCATTTACAATGCACTGCACAGCTGCCTCTAGGAGGAAGGTGTCTCCTCTTCCGGCGTGTCCGGCTCGGAAGTTGAGGCCTCCACAGTCGATCCTGCACCGATCTCTTCTGCCGTACTGGAGGGGACAGGAACCTCCTCGACCCCTACCACGTCTTTACTCTCTGGCTCAACCGCCTGCTCGGTCAGTGGCGCCTGCTCAACAGGCGACGACTCTACCGCGGTCACTGCCCCGCCCGCCGGCTCTCCATCGGACAAGTCAATCTCCTGATTCGCAGGCAGCTCCACCTCCTGCAAGTCATCCACCACTGCCTCTTCACCTCCGTCTTTGGCGTCTAGGAGCAGCTCCAACGAATCCTTGGGCACGTCTTCACCGCCTTCTGTCTGACCCGCCAATGGCTTTGGCACATTTGGCTCTTCGCCCAGATCGATGGCCTCTTCTGCCTCGATGGCTTCTCCATTTCCTGCCTCAGCGGCCATGGCTGCTGCGAGGGGTGACACTTCTTCTGCATCTGCGCCTGCGAGCCCTACCGGAGGTTGAGTACCATCTCCCTTTGGCGAGGCAAGCGGCAAGAGGGGAGCCGAGCGGATGTCCGATTGTGCAGGCGCCGAGTCTGGTGGTGTGGGGATGAGCGTCGAGCCAGGACCCCTTGTACTTTGCTCTGGAGTACCAAGTAGGATATCAGGGATAGCCGGGAGTCCCACAGGTGGGACAACGTTGTTGGCGGAGGGCGGTGAAGATGTGGAATGTATGGCTTCGGCCGCCTGTTGTAGCTTCTCCCTCAATGGTGTGCGATGCGGCTTTGGCACGGGCGGGGGAGGCGTGGTGATCTGTCTTGAAGCTGCAGATGGAGAGCCGATGGAGGCGGTGGGAAGGGGAGCGGCAGGTATCGAGGGTATACGGGATGTGGACGCCCGAGGTGCTGGGAGGGGAGGCTGCTGTTGCGTCGTCTCGATGGCGGTGGAGATAGCCTGGCTTACGCTTGCCTTGCGACCTCTCCTTGGGGCGCCTAGAGACAACTTTTCCTTGCCGAAGCCTACATCAAGGCCCTTGCCTTCAGCAAGATCCAAAACTCTCCTCAACTCTTCATTCTCCACTCGTAGCCGTTGTAGCTCCGTTGCCCTCTCCAGGGCCGCATCGGAGCGTTGAGCGTCAGGATCGCCCAGCTTGCCAGTGTACCCTCCGCTGCCATACCACCTTGGATCAGAGGTAGAGCCATAGCCGAGAGTTTGTCTCGAGGAAGAAGCTTCGTAGATAGAGCCCGTCTCATCATCGTCCAAAGTGGCTCCCTCCCCTTCACCTTCCACCTCTCGCAGGGCGGACCGTACGAGGGTACTAAGGTGGGCGAGGGTGGAGGAGAGGGCAGTAGAAGCGTGGAGGGAGGCAGATGCTGCGTTGTAGGTATTGCTGGCGAGTAATTCCTCGTAGTGTTGTGTCAGCTTGAGGGTATGTGATTGGGTTGCGTGCTGAAGAGGGTAAGATTGCCAAATTGGGCGACAGCCGAGCAGATAGGATGTCAGACGATGTGTCGAGCTCCGCGCCGGCAATGTCTCTCTTCTCCCATTACACACTCACCGAGAAGATGCGGAACTTCTTCATGACAATCTCTAGACATTGCTCAAACTCCTTGATGAGCCGATCATTCATCTTATTCTCCCACTTGAGCTCATTATTCTCCTGCGCCAAATGAGCATTCAATCTCTCCAGCTCGCTCTCAAACTTCTCCTTTGACACGTCCACATTGAATCTGCGTAGTGCAAACCCAGTTTGGTTGTGTACGGCTCTTCCCTTGAGGACTTCTACTTGGGACTGGACGTCGGCTAGATGTTGACGATTGAGGTTGAGCTGGGAGGTGAGGTCTGCCACCAGAGCCCAGAGGCGATGCATCTCATCGCCGTCCATGAACGTCATGTCTGCGAGGCGATGAGCTCACGGGACGTACAAGGCGGAGATGACGAGACTTGATGGAGGAGGTCGGGGTGGTGAGGACCAGGAGGTTCGAGGTGGTCTAGTGGTCTTGTAGGAAGGCGGTGAGAGCGTTGCGTCTGTGTGTCCTGTGTCTGTTCCTGTGGCCTCGAGCCAACGCGAGCGGGGGTGAGTGAGCCAAGTGATAGCCTAGGCGGGGGGAACGGAGGACGCTGCTTACCTAAGCACACCACCAACAATTTCCCTTCCGCCCTCGCTCGCTTCCTCGGCCTAAATTTTGGAATGTACAGTACCTGGTGGCCAGACCATTCTACCTTGCCTCCTTCCTTGGAGACTCACCACATCCGATCCTCCACTCTGGCCTGTCCACCATGCCGGCAGCGACCAGTCGCCCCGCTGCGGCCTCGTCGTCCCTGCAAGCCGACCCTTCCTCGTCTTCGACCATTGTTCACTTCAAGGGCCACATCAACTTCCGTGCCCGTCTAGTCCTCTCCCTTCTCTCCGCCCGCCCTATCATCATCACCGCTATCCGTCCCAATGCTCTCTCTCCCGGTCTTAAAGACTTCGAGGCTTCCTTTTTGAGGCTCATCGAGAAGATCACCAATGGCTCGAAAGTGGAGATTAGCTACACGGGTACTACGGTCAAGTTCCTTCCCGGGACCATTGCGGGTGGCAGTGTGACGCACGATTGTGGTACCTCGCGAGGCATTGGCTACTTTCTCGAATGGATTGCCATTCTGGCTCCTTTTGCAAAGAAGGAAATGACGCTTACCCTCAAGGGTCTCACAAGTGTAGAGGGGGACATGGGCGCAGATCTACTGCGTACCGTGCATCTACCCTGGCTTGCCCAATTCCTTCCTCCTGCCACCTCACTCGCATCCCCTCTCGAGCTTCGCATCCTAAAGCGAGGTCATGCCCCGCTCGGAGGAGGTGAAGTCTTCTTCCGCTGTCCACTACTGCCCAATGTCTCCTCGGCAGGTCCAGCAGGAGGAGGAATGAGCGGTTCAGGCGGTGGAGGCGGTATGCTCCGTTCGGTCAACTTTGTCAATGCAGGCAAGGTCAAGAGGATACGTGGAATTGCTACGGCGGCGAGGGTTAGTCCTGCCATGGCAAACCGAATGGTGGAGAGGGCGAGGAAGATCCTCAATCGATATGTACCCGATTTGTACATCTTTGCAGACGTGTACAGGGGCGATGAGTCTGGAAAGTGAGTAGAGCCGAGCCGAGCCGAGCCGAGCAGAGTCAAGTCCGCATAGGCATCCTTTCCTCCTTACTAACTGTTACCCTCCTCCACTCCTCCGATTGTGCCTTCACAGATCACCCGGCTTCTCCCTCTCCCTCCTGACCCAATCCACCACCTCCTCAACCCACTATTCCGAATCACACTCCACCCCTGGTGCAATTCCAGAAGAAGTAGCCATTTCCTGTGTCCACTCTCTCCTTTCTTCACTACAAACTGGAGGTTGTGTACCACCATCATTACAGGCGGGGACATTGTTGATGATGGCTTCTTCACCAGAGGATGTTTCGAGGGTCAAGGTTGGAACGCTTGTGCCTGGAGCGATACAGATGATGAGGGACCTAGAGTCGCTCTGGGGACTTCGGTTCCTCATACGCAGAGTGGAACAGGAGACACAGGAGGGAGCGGGTCTTCCCCAAGAGGAGGCGGGAGAAGAAGAAGAGGAAGACAGTGAAGATGATAGTGAAGATAGCGATGACCAAGGGGTGGTACTCAAGCGACAGTCCCGCTCTCGACCAAGTGCCGTCGCGAGCATGGCAGACGAGTTTGTCCTGAGTTGTAGAGGCGTGGGAGTGCGTGGACATAGGAAGGCGACGTGAGCGTCCTCTGTATCTTGCACTTTGTACCTCGTCTGCTTCTCACGCCTCTCACGTGCACAAGGGAGCATTGTGTCTAGTTTGCTCCTTGTCATCGGCTTCCTTCCTTCCTTGTAACAATAGCAAAATTGATGCAGACCACACTTGTCTCCAATTTTTCTTTATGGACCGAGTGGGTGGGTGAGTGAACAAACGCCCACCTCTCTTGCCCGTGTCAGGCAGCTTACGCCTCTCCACGCTCACAGTGGGCTTGACGCATCCCGCTCCGCAACGCTTCAGACAGTCGTTTCAGGAATTAGTTTTGATGTGTATGAACGAACCAGTGGTAGACAGAGAAGGTCAAGGACAGACCAGAGGGGGTGAGGGCGCAAGTACGTGGTCACTTGGGACATATGCGTAGACTGTCCCCTCCTTCCTCTATCCAATGCTCTCCTTTCACCCCTGTCCAAGAGGCATCCTCGGCACACAAGCATTCTAACCGATGATCAGCTTGCCCTCCTCGTCGTTGAAGGAGCTGCGAGGTGAAAGAGGGAAAGGTGGAGAGCGATCATCAGTACCGTATGCAAGAGTCCCGGAGGTCGCCCCAACTACACTCACTATTCTGGCACCTCGAGGTTAAGGGGAGCAGGTCCCTTTCGTGCACGTCCCGACGAGTCGTAGTGGGATCCGTGGCAAGGGCAGTACCATCCTCCATAGTCACCTGCCTCACCAATGGGTACACAACCCAAGTGTGTGCATACACCCAGCATGACCAGCCACTCGGGCCTCTTTGCTCGGTCACTGTCCTTTTGAGGATCCCTCAGCTTGCTAATGTCGACGGCATTGGCATCGTCAATGTCCTGCTGGTTCCTGTGTCGGACAAACACGGGCTTTCCACGCCACTTGATGATGGCATTCTTGCCCTCGGGGATGTTGTTCAAATCCACCTCGACCTTGGCCAGGGCGAGAACATCGGCAGAGGCAGACATCGAGGCCAGGAAGTCGGAAACGGTGGCCTTGGCTCCGGCAGCGGTGATGAGACCCATGGATCCAACGATGAAGTAGGACATGGTCTTGTTGGTGTCCGAGTCTCCGCTTCGGTAGCCACTGAAGTCGGGCACCTGCGAGGGCGATGTGTTGGTGGGGGCCACCTCTTGGCGAGTCGAGGTGCTGAAGAATCGCTGGGGACGAGCGGGCAGGGCTGGGGGAGGGATTGGGGAAAGAGTGTGTGCAGTGTGAGCAGGATAGCTGCGATTGGGAGGATCTCACCACCTCTTCCACAGTCCTTCCTGAAGTCCACGTATCCATCTCCTCATCCATTTCCGCCCTTCGAGCCGAGAAGAGGAGAGTTCCTATGCTCCTTCCCTATGCTCTCTTACTCCAGCTTCCAGCAGCTCTCTCTCTCGCTCTCTTGACATCTCTCCTCTTCTCTTCTCTGCGCAAGATACCCACCATTAATTCCCGTCCTGCTCAAAAGGTTTCCACCAACAATCGAAGTAGAGCTAGCCCACTTGGGCACACCAGTAGCGTCTGCCCTTGGTGCCAGAGGGTCATTGTGAGCGTGAGCACCGTGGGCGTCGTGGGGTGCTCGGGCGGCGAGGGTTACACCGCGGGCGAGGGGAGTACCGTTGAAGCGGGTGGCAGTGGTAGGACTGTGGGTGAGTGAGTGGGGCGCGGGGGAAGGTGAAGAGGAAGCGGTCAGTAAAGCGATGTCCTCGACCTGAAAATAAAGGCCAGATCCTATCCTAGTCTTTCTCCTTGCCTATCTGCCTCAACGCTCTACGCGGGCAGTCCACCTAAGGACCTTCTTCCCTGGCCCGCATCCCCAACCCTCCCTCCTTCTGAAACCACGAATGACCAGCAAGGGGATTCTCACAGGGCATTGACATAAGTCCGCGATGCAGTTCGTCCAGCAGCCGACATGATTGGCTATATCGGTGGTAGAGTGGTGCTGGTGGTAGGAAGGACAAAGGTGAGGGTGAGGGAAGTCGGAAGTGCAGTTGATGAGATGACGGTGGAAGGGTGGAAGGTGGGTAGCGTGGTAGATGAGGCCCGTTGGGCTTGCGATGATTACAGACGCAGGCCCTGCCTCGCTCGCCCGCCCGCCCTGGCTGCCTGTGTGCGTGGGGCCTGGCTGAGAAATCCCCTGGCTGCCCTTGGTTGGCCTGTCGAGCCTTCAGCGCGCGGGAACATCCGGGAGGAAAGACACAAGCGCGGGCGCCACCAGACAGGCAGGGCAAACCAAACCACTCCGCCAGTCCGCCTTGCGTATGGGAGGCTCACAGTCAGCGCTTCATTCAAGCATTGACTGATCCATAGGACGACAATGCTGACATCACAACTCGGCAACGACACAGCATGCAATGATTTTCTTAAAGCTTAAAGAATGCTTCTTCTCCTTGCTCTATCCCCTCCTCATGCGTCACCTAGAAATCCCAATCATACGCCATCGGTGGCTCCCTGCTGTTTGGTCGAATAACAGTCGTGACAAACTCAACGTGCTGTGGATGATCCCGGTACATCTCATAGTCTGCCCGGCTCGCAAAGCGGGAGTAGATGGCCTGGATAGAAGATGATGATGATGATGATGATGCGTGACAGAAGTCAGATTAGAAATAGCTCGAGGTGATAAGGGCGCAGCACTACGCAAGGTCTGCAGCCGGTTACTCACATAGTCGTACCCCTTGGCCCGATCGGTCCACACTGGTGGGCCCATGTGAGCCTCGGCGTTCAGTTCCTTCAGGATAGGCATCTGTGCTCGCACCGCATCGAGGAAAGACAGGCAGATAGGGAGATAGAGATGGGCAAGGGCAAGAGTGAGAGCGAGAGCGAGAGCGAGTGATGAGGGGTAGGACAGGATGGGGCAAGAAGATGGTCAGTCTGGCTTCTCTTTCGTCTTGCTTGACCATACCATCCTGCTCTCTCAGGCAAGGTAGCAAAGGCAAAGGCGTCGATGCCCCATTCCCTCGGGGAGTGTCCACTCACATCCTTGAAAGTATCAAACTTCTTGATCAACTCCTCCTTTCCATTTCCCTTTTCCCATATATCCTCCTTGATCTGACGCGGAGTCACCGCACGGAGAGTGAGAGTGTGGAAGCAGCGTCGTGAGTGTTAGTAAGTGGGCAAGTGGGCATCAGAGCGAGACTTAGAGGAGAGGAGAGCAAGTCCAGAGAAGAGCTCCTACCTACCTTGAGAAAGACGACGTGAATGAGTGGCATGCTTGACGAGTACTTCGAGAGATAGGTAAGAAGGAGCGAAAGCGAATGATCCAAGGTACAATCGAGAGAGGAAAGCTCCAGCAAGAAGGAACTGTTGAAGTACCTCTACCTTTGACAACTGACAAGTACAGCTCCAGGAAGGATGCACGCATGCACTCACGCACGGCCCAATTGCGGGCAGGCGGAATAGGCGGCTTGCCCTAGTCTAGTCTAGAGTGGTGTGGCGCCGCCCCAAGCTGCTGCTGCTCTTCGGCACGGCCATGCCACGCTCCAAAGGCGGGGAAGTCCCCTTGCAAAGGTCACCGCACTTCACCGCTTGCCCTGCCTCCTACTCACTACGCACCCCCTCAGCCCAACAACGAGAGAAGAAAGAAGAAGGAGGACACTGATCCTTAACATTGGATGGTCGTATTCTCATTGCTCTAACCGTGAGCTACTCAAACATTGTGTACACTAATGGGTCTGGTAAGGGAAATGGGTCCAAGATTAGCCAAAGAGAGCGCCTTGAAGTATAAGGGTTTGGAGACGGCGGGAGAGATGTGTGGCCAACGAGTATAGTCGTGAAAGGAAGGACTTGTGACGAGAGATCCGGTATCGAGGGTGGCCAAGAGAAGAAGTGAGTAGACACGCCAGTGCCATGGAGCAGTGCGATTGGACACATCGCCGGTTGGAGAAAAGTTGAAAGGGAAAAGTAATCTACTACGGGAAAACAGGACTTCTGCTGCCTTGAGAACGGGTGCATCTACCGACTAGTAGCCGGTGAAAGCTCTAGCACGCTCGCACATCTGGTGAACCTTGAGTCCTGTCTTTGTACCCTTGAGGAACACTGAATTCTTGCGCACTGCCTTGATGATACGTTCGCGGTCATCTCGACTGATCGTCGTGAGAAGCTGTAGGGGAAGGGCAGCAGATGCTGAGGTCAGTCAAGAACGACAGTATGCGCTGGCTTGAGCACCCCAGCTGGCCACACTCACCTGAGTCATGATCTGCAGGCCTTGTGGAGTCGAGGCAATGTCTACAAGCATAGATCGTCGTCCAGAGGACGCATTGGCGCTCACACTGCTCTGTCCACTACCCTCTCCTCCGCTGCCAGAGGCGTTGGGGCCGTCGCAGAGTAGGTCTAGGTAGCCGCCGATGAAGTGTGCATCTCGGGACTTGAGAGCAGTCATGATCGCCTTCTGGCCGAATTGAGACATGGACAGCATCGCTGCTTCACCCAGGAGCTTCTCGAAGGCAACGGTGCGGGAATCATCATCGCCGTGCTCGATGATGTGCTGAACTACCCAGACGCCCCACTGGTTGGCAGCGCACTCGGGCAGCTTATGCAGGATCTCCTCGATGCAATCCTTCTTCTCGGGGCCTTGCGCGCTCTCGAAGAGATTCTGAACGACAATGCTGCCAGTCTCCTGCATAGCAGTGTATGCCCAGTGACCTCGCATGGCCGCATTGATGACGTCAAAGACCTTTTCGCGGAACTTTTCGCTGGACCACTTGACCTCGAGAGCCTTGGCCCAGACATGTACAGAGTTGCGAGAGGTGAGAGTCTCGAGTAGATTCTGAGAAAGAAGCTCTTCGACGACTGCAATCTTGAGGGGTTCGTCTTCGTCCAAGATGCGTTGAACAACGTGACAGCCGTACTGAGAGAGAGCTAGTCGAGCATAGCTTCCCTTCAACTTCCAGGCTACGGAGGCGTTGATACCGATCGCTCGCTGAACCAAGAAATTGCCGTGCTTGTCCTCGGACAAGACCAGGAGATGAGGGGCAATGGCTCGTATGATGGCCGTCTGGCGTTCAGCTGAGCCAGACTTGAGCTGCTGCTGAAGGATGATGCTCGCCTCTTGACTGCGGCCGGAAAGAGCTCGGGCTACAAGCACTTCGGGAGGTGTCATGGAGTCTAGGCCCCGAACGCGAGCAGGTGCAATGCCGCTGGGAGACAAAACACCAGAATAGGGCATTCCACCTCCGTTGAAGAGCCCAACAGACATGTAGGGCATCGTTGCTGCGGGTGCACTGAAACGGGGCTTCGAAGGCGGCGCAGGGGAGTACTGAGGCAGAGCTACCTGCGCGTATTGAAAGAGCTGTTGGTGGTTACGAGCAGCCTCTTGGAGAGTGGCATATTCAGGCACAGACCTTTCGCCTCCATAGGTGGCTGGTGAGCCAGGCAGTGGTGACACAGACGTGCCGCTCTGCCCGCCCATGTGGTGATACTGTGCAAGCCATGGAGGCTGGCCGCCCTGTGGCAGATGCAGGGTGGGTGCTGCTGGGGAGGAAAGGCGCTGCGCAGGTGCCATCTGCCGAGCAGGCGTGCCCGCATCTCCCCGAGATGGGGTAGCACTGAAATGTGATGCCACATTTGATCGAGGAGAGATCCTGCCGCTGTCGATGCTCGTTGCCTGTGGAAGGTTCTGCTCACCTTGCTGAGAGCGGTCTGCTGTGGTGACAGGGCTGCGGTAGGTGGTGAAGGAAGAACCCTGCGGCGACTGTCCTGCCCTACCCTCATAGAAGGGCTCTGGGGATGGAGATTGGCTCTCAACACCAGCTTGAAGCTGAGCTTGTATAGAGTTGATGAGAGACAGACCAACGTAGCCCATGCTCGGAGAGCCTTCGCAAGACCTCATATCGGATACAGCAGGCGAGTTGCGACCTGCCCAATGGCCTGCGGCGGAGTCGGAAGGAGGGTACAAGGACCTAGCGCCGCCGAGAGCTGGGCTGTTCGGGCCCCAGGAAGCATTGGTGACACCTTGATTCAGTGTAGTGAAATGAGGCTGAACATACTGGTACGAGTGAGGATATATCATATGCTGGAAGGCATCTCGCAAGGTAGCGAGCTCGAGAGACTGTGTGTCATATCGCTCCTGCAGCTGGGCACGGTCGCTTTGAGATGCAGACAATTGGTTCTGAAGCTGAAGATCGGAGACGGGTAGATGTGGGCAGAAGGTTTCGTGAGCACGAGAGCTCTTCTGACCCGCGACATTGCTGAGGCGGCAACACCGACTTACACTAGGTGCTTCGTTTGCCATCTTGCGAAGGCTGGACGCCTTGCCTACGGGACCATCGCTGCTGGCAGCAGGTGACTGATCGCACAGAGGATGATCAGTGAGGTAAAGAGAAGCAAAGTCAGGCAGCCTGGTTTTTTGTCACGTCGGCAGGCAGACTTACCTGAGGAGCACCCGAGCTGCTGTCATCATGACGACTGTCGCCTGGGGCATGTGGCTTTCGGTGTTGCATCTGAGCTCGAGGAAGCGTATTGGGATGCATCATTGCCGTCGACGGCGTCATTTTGCGAGGAGTACTTTCCAAAGGAGCCACGGGTGCCGTGTGAGACCCGGCCAGATCGTCGAAGAACGAAGAGGCAGCGCCCAGAAAGGGCTTGGCACCTGGAGATGACTGGGGTTTGCCCCTGCGCTGGTCCATACGAAGGGGGCTGAAGGCAAGCCGATGATATGCATTGAGGCTCTGCGCATCGTGATCGTTGCCGAATGAGTCGCTGTTGTCAAAGGTGGTAGAGTCGCCACCCAAGCTGGGCAAAGACGAGTCGTTGGTGAGGTGATGCTGAGGCGACGGGAGATCGCCAATGCGAGGAGCCGTCGGGCCATGGTAGGATCCATCCTCGCTGATCAGCTTGTTGACACTTTGAAGCAGACTGCATCGGACAAAGTTCTGATCATTGGAGCCCATCCTTGGCTGGCGAGCACGCCCGTCGGAGCTGCTTCCGACTGGAGAGGATCGCTCGTCGCCCACAGCTCCTAGTCGATCTGGGTTGGGACGGTCGATAGCGCAATCGATCTTGTTGCCTTCCTTGTTGATGCCGGTGTTGCGAGCCGGCGTGTGGGGATGGGATGTTGGCGACGAAGCGAGACTCGCTTCGCGATAATGAGGAGGTAGTGCAGTCATACTAGTCCGAAGCAAGAACAGAGAAAGGTAGAGGGCCTTGCAGACGTATGCACACCCAGAAAGGTAGTACTTGCTCGTAATCGAAGCAGTGCGCCAAAGGGGAGCAGTCAGGGCGATGTCGACAAGGCTGGCGGAAAGAATAAGCGTGAGAGATGAAGGTCCAGCCGTGTTGCTTGCCCTCTATGCGTCAGCGTCAGACGAAGCTTAAGTGATTCGATCGAGAGGGAGAGGAAGAGATTGTGAAGTAGGCGCGAGCAGGAGTGGGCTGCCGTACGCTGTTTGTGTATGGCTTCTTCGATGCCACGTGACGGCAGGAAGAGTGGAAAGCGCAAGGAGATGCAATCCTGGGGCGTGGTACAGGCGGTGCAGAGAGAATCGAGGGTCTTGATGGTAGTCTGGCTGAATGCCGAGAGTGTGCTCGAGGAGAGGAGGAAGGGTGCCTCTGTAGATCACGGGCGATGTGGGGAATGGGGCCAAGTCTCCGGGACGGGCAGCTTGAGGTGATGAGAAGCGAGGGGAGCGAGCTGATGCAGGTGATTGTTGGTGAAACGTATGGAATGACGGTGCCTGACGATGACCCGATTTAGGGTCTGATGTGTGTGGTGAGACAAATGACGGTAGGGAGGAGGCAGAAGAGAAGGTGAGTACGTGGGGAGGCAAGACGAGGTGAGGGAGGGAGTGTTGTGGAAGGGGATGAAGAAGAGAAGAAGGCAAGGAGGGAGGGAGGGCGAAGAAGCTCTTGACCAGGAGATGGAGCCGGGTGCGAGCCCTTTGCCGTCAGGATTGCCAGTGGAGCCAAGCCAGTGGAGGAGGTTGCTGGCTGGAGGTGACATGGCTCACCCAATTGATTAACGGGCCTCCGCGCTGAGCCTACAACGGCCTTTGCTTCCTGGATTGGCTCCTCGCACTTCCCGCTGGGCTGAGAAGCCTGCCTGGGTGTCGCTTTGCTTTGCCACCACGACGGTACCCCGCTCATCTCGTTCGTCCGTCCGTCCGTCTGCATCTTCCTTGGCGCTGCACCCATTCACTACAGCAACTCATCTTTATCCGCCGCGCCTGCAAAATACTTCTGCCGGCCTCCGTACTGATGGCCCTGCCCAATCGCTCCTGCTCAAGCACGCTACGGACTTCAGGCTTTCAGGGCAACCCGGTGAGCGGTAAGAGATTGCTTCTGGAGTACCAATGCGCCGCCTTCAGGCCCTCATCGTATATATCAGCGGCCCCTCCTCGGCACATCGCAAGGTCGTTGCAGACCACAAGCAAGGAGGAAATAGCGGTCGCGCATTTTCCTCCAGGAGTCATGCTCTTGTATTTTTGTCTTGACATTGGCAGCGATTGAGCCGTATCCAACGTGTGCCCTGCTGTGACAGAGTGCCTCTGTGCTGACCGTCACTCGCTGCCTTCGCTCCTTTCCGTCGATGGCTTCCCACCTCCGCTCCGAGCCGGAAATTGGCCACGCGCGTTTCGCGACACGCCCAAATGGACGTGAATTTGGGACGCCCCAGGACCAACACCACACCCTTGCTTCCATCAGTCTCTGACGTCCACGAGCCAACCTCTAAGATACCTCTTGGAAATTGCTAGCGAGCGTCGGACATATTCGCTATTCTCAGGTCTAGCGTGGCTCCATCGCAAGACCGATCTGCAGGACCCGGACCTTACCAGAGCCACACCTCCCTGCATACCCAGCCTGGAGCGCCCCTGCTAGTGCGATGGCGTCTCTACCACCCTCGACAGCGGCGGCAGCCTCAGCTGGCCACGGCAGCGTTCACATCCAGATTGTCCATACACCGGGTATCACACGCGTCCTATATGCTCCCAAAAGCGCAGGGGTGGAGTGAGTATGACCTGGGGCACCCCAGAAAGACCAGCGCAGAACAGCAGGAGCACACCTGACTTCTTGTGACTTCTCCCTTTGCGCCTTGCTCTCTGTCTATCTCACAGTCGCTTGTTCACAGGAGGAGATGACTATCTTGTCCGACTTCTTCCTACCTCTTACACCTCCGACCAAGAACCACTCCTCATCGAAGACGCAACAGCGCCTGTCACATGGCTTGATGCCGGCCGCTCTCACCTCCTAGTAGCCTCCGAAGATGGCTCTGTGCGCGTCTACAAGCACAACAATGATACCGACGATGAGACTCAGCTAGGCCGAGCTGCTGTGCCGCTGTCCGGCATCCTGACTCGGACTAGCCTACCGACGCGCTGTGTAGCCCTCGAGAAGGCATATCCCTCCGACAAGAGCCCCAGAGCTGCCATCTGCAGCGATGAGCTCATAGTCAAGATCGTCGATGTAGAGGACAACAAGCGGGTCCATCTGCTCACCGGTCATTCCAGAGCGGTACGCGCAGCCTCTTGGTCTCCTCGTGCTCCTACCCTGGTGACCTCGTCCTGCGATGGTACAGCAAGGGTCTGGGACTGCAGTACGACTGAGCCGGGCTGCACAAAGGTGCTCGAGCATCTGCCAGTGAGCAGACCCGAGGATGAGACAGACATTCACGCAGAGTGGCACCCTTCGGGCGATTTCTTTGTCCTGCCCTCCAGGAGCAACGAACTTGTCACCTACTCTTCTTCCGGTGGCCAAGGCTGGGCAAGATCGGGTACCTTTGCAGCCCCAGCTCGTGGGACTTCGGCCATCAACGCACCCACTGGATCTCTCACTGCCATCTCCTTCTGCCCTAATGGTCGCTACCTCGCCGCTGCTACCACTGATGGACAAGTAACAATCTGGGAGACGGCCTCGCGCGCTCCAATCCGTGCTCGCAAAGCTGAGTCGAACGTCACTGGTCTAAGCTGGAAGCCCGACGAGGATGCATTGGCCTGGGTCGATACCGATGGTCAGCTGAATCGATGGCAGGACGTAGTCGGAAGCAGCTACCAATCTCCTAGCGAGGCAGTCTCTTTTGGCACAACCACAAACGTCAGTCGCAGCGCTGCCGCTGTACGATCCAGGTCCCACGTCGATGATCTGTTTGCTGGTACTGGTCTCGATGATGATGACGATGATGACCAAGGCGCCGGTGCATCCCGATTCATGGACGATGAGGCAGGCGATGGAAGAAATCGCAGGGATCGATCCGCAGACAACGAAGGCGAGGACGACGAGGAGGACGGGCTGGAAGATTTCGTCGTAGACGACGAAGCAGGCGACTACACTTCTGCAAGGGCGTCTGAGCACCGTAGGCGGCAAGGTGGCAGGAAGCTGATCCCCAGACCTTCTGGAGCGGCCTCTATTGCTAGTCTCACGGCTCATACTCAAGCACCCTTTCAGCCGAACTCTACCCCTTCACGCAACTCAAGACGCTATCTTTCTCTTTCGCTCTTCGGATCTCTGGTCTCAATCGACCAAGAGACTCATCATGTGGTGTCATTCGAATCCTTCGACAGCGCTGCTCGGCGTAATTGGAAGATGGTCGATCACTTCGGCTACTCATTCGCAAGCGTGGCAGCTTCGGGTGCTCTACTTGCTTGTCCAGAAAAGGGCGATAATGCCAGCTCCGTCCATTTCAAGCCGTTCGAAGCAGCTGGAGCTTGGAGTACACCAGGGGCGGAATGGTCAATGGAGATGCCAAGAGGCGAGGACGTAGTAGCTATCGCTATGGGCGGAACTCCACCTGCACGGAGACAAGACGACGAATACGCAGAGGACGAGGTAGCGAAGGCAGCTGCTGCTCTCACCTCGACGGCAATCGTTGCTACCTCTGCAGGCTATCTGCGGTTCTTTTCCTCTTCTGGCCTTCAACGCTACGTCTGGGCATTCGGATCTCAAGTAGTAGCAATGGCTGCAGGGAAACAGCACGCGGTCATCGTTCACCGCCCTTCGACTGCTTTGGATGGGTCGCAAAACCTCTCGTACACTCTGATCGATATGATCTCATTCGAGGTCAAGCAGACTGGCCTTCTACCTCTTGGCAAATGCGTCGAGTTGCGATGGGTCGGCTTCAACGAGCTCGACGTCGCCTGCTTCTACGATAGTCGCGGTGTCATGCACCTGTTAGACCGAGCCTTTGCTGCTCCTGGTCAGGCACGCTGGACACCTGTGCTTGACACCGCCTCTCTCGCAGCCGCACGCAAGGATTCTGAAGACGACTCTTCGACCTCACGCACCCAATTCTGGCCTCTGTCGATGAGCTCGACGCAGATGTTCTGCATCTTTGTCAGAGGCCAAGGAGGTCAAGCCTTCCCTGATCCATCGGCGAGCGGACATCCTCTCATTCAAGAAGTGGACTTGAAGCTGCCTCTGCTCAATCTCGAGCAGCCCTCTGGTGAGCTCGAGGAGAAGTACTTGCGCAACACGCTTCTCGCATCCTCGATCCGCTCTGCAACGGCCTCTCTCGTGGTCCGACCGACCGAGGAGGCTTCTGATTTGGCTAATCCTGCTCAGCTCATCCACGAGGCAGACAAGGACCTACTACAGCTGATCCAGCTAGCCTGCAAAGCTGACAAGCACGCTCGAGCCTTGGACGCCACACGAGAGCTGCACGGCTCTCAAATGCTGGATGCGGCTCTACAGATCGCAGCATTCTTCCACCTACCATCTTTGGCCGATAGAATGAGCAGCTTGAGGGAGTGGATTGAGACGAGAGATGAGAGAGACGAGAGGCTGGAGAGAGATGGCCCAGCCGGTGTAGCCATCGAGGACTTCTCAGAGGCTGCTGAAAGGAGTCACAGGAGCAGAGACAGGGTCTTCGCTCCATCTAGCCAGAGCCCCATGCCAGGCGGAGGGTCGACCACGGCTCAAGCTCGACGTGCTCTGATGCAAGACTTTGGCGCTCAGAAGGGCTCGACTCCACGAAGATCTCAGGGTGGACGAGGTAGTGGGTTTGGCAACAGCATCATGGATGCTTCTCCAGCTCCATCCTCGGTCGCTATGCCGCCACCTCCTGCCGTCAGCTCAACCCGCAATATGAGCTCTTCGCTTCTGTCAGACTCCAGCAATCTCATGCACCGAGACGAGGACGAGTACCGATCAGTGTCTCCGCCTGCAGCAGGAGTCAAGAGGAAGACTTCAGACTACACTCATGAAGACGCAGCGCAAGGGCTGCAGAAGCAGCGTTCCACTTCAAACCCCTTTAACAAGACATCCCTCTCCACGCCCGGTGGAGCCGGAGCTGCTCGCAATCCCTTTGCTCGACAGCCCGGCAGCATGGTCCGTGATCGCTCGATGCACAAGTCCAACTCCTTCTTTGATCGCGCCGAGGCCGACTTGACGGAGGGCAGCGTGGCTAGTGCAGGTGGCCGAGGCAGCGCAGCGGCGAAGAAGACGAAGCAGACTACCCTGTTTGGCTCCGCACCGCCTTCGGGCGACAGCGCATCCGCTACCAATGGCAGGAGGAAGGAGTCAGCATCGAAGGGGGCCGCCACGCCTGCATTTGGGGAGACGCAGAGCGAGGAAGACTCGCAGATGACCGAGGGCGGGCAGGAGGAGAGTCTGAGGCTCACGCTAGACTCTGCTGTCGACAGGGAGGAGCGTAGGGAGCGCAGGGGTGGGCTGGAGGAGACCCAGGCGATGTCCATGGAGGATGAGGATGAGGAGACGCAGCCTGTTGATGCTGAGGAGGAGGAGGAGGATCAGCCCGAGGAGAAAGAGGCGGTGAGCGGCAGGAGCAGTGAGTAGATCACGCTAGAGCTGCCTCTACAAATCGAAATCATCTGGCTGACTTTACGTTCTCCTCACTCCTGTCCAGAACTCGAAGCATTCAGGCGTCGGCCTATGGCAGAAGTCGCCTGATTCTCAAGCGTGATTACCAAATCTCTATTTCGCACCTCAAGCATCAATGTGACCTTTCTCCACTAGCAATACATCTTTACTTCATCACACTGCCCGTCTGCTCCACCAACTTTTCTCTAATCTCTCTCAATCCAACTTTTTGCCTCTCCCTTCCCTGTGTGTTGCTTCCTTCCTCTGCAGGGTAAAAGTTGTCTTCAGCGAGCCAGAGTTGAAAGGCTTGCCGCAAGAGGGGCCATTCGGAATCGATGATGGAGAACCAGGCAGTATCGCGAGAACGAGCCTTGTTGATCATGTGCTGCCGGAAGATCCCTTCGTAGGTGAAGCCTAGCCTGCGAGCGGCTGTGAGAGGAGAGAAGTAGAGGAGTCAGTCGTCCTGCTGGTGTGCTCGCATGCAGCAATTCGGTGCGTCTCTGCTGGAGACCGTCTCGAGCCTCACTCACCCGACTGCGACGGCCCATTGAGTTCATTACACTTCCACTCCAATCTTCTGAATGTAGTCAACCTCCTCTGTCCGCCCACACTAATAGCCCTTCCCTCGCCCTTCTCCTCGCCCTCCTCAGTATCTCCTTCAAACGCCCTTTGCATCAGGAGGAAGAAGGCCTCTGTCGCTGCGCGTGTACCACGAATGGAGGGCGCAAGCATAACGTGTCCTAGCTCGGTGGTCCTGTTGGGTAGATTGGAGTTAAAGAGGCAGAAGACACCTTGTGCTCTCCCGCTCAATCTTGGCTCCGAAGTCGAGGCAGCTCCAGCATTAAGAGAGACAATGGCATAGTAGCAATACGTTGGATCGTCTCGCTTGGAGATGCAGTCTTTCATGAAGGTGGCCTTTGCTCGAGCTTCCCTCTGTGCCGCTCCTTCCTCCCCATTCAGTGAGGCTGAGGCTTCTCCCTGCGCATCACCAGTCGGGAAAGGCAGGCCCTTGTAAGGTCCATTGAGCATGTAGCTCCAGTAGCTATCCGTCTCCCTGCTCTGTCCAAAAGCCCTCCACCAGTCCTCCAGATCCTCGTCGGTGGGGGAGCGAAGCTCGACGAAGCGTCCGCGAAGCACCTTGGGGCGGGGCATGGCGGCTGGCGTGGGGTCTACCTCGGGCCCGGTACGCTGACCCCAGGAGGCATAGTCGGCGTCGGTGGGAAAGTTTGGGTCCATGACTAGGCGAGGAGCTTCCGTCGCTGAGGTTTGTCTTTGTGAGTGTAGCAGAACAGCAGCTTCCCCAAGACCTTTGAGCTGGCCGTCTTATATCGTATCAAGCAGCCCTGGGATCTTCTGAGCCCCACCCCCGCTCCCCTTTCCGTTGACTCGACTCGCTCGGCATGCGCCTCGACTTCTCCGCATCAAAGGGGTGGAGGCGGCCGTGGCTTGCAGCCTACATCAGCGTCGCGGAGCCCAGAGCCCGCACAGAGTACATCTATGGCAGCCCGATGAGGGTGGCAAGGACAAGGAGTGGAAGGCGGAGATCACAGAGGCCAATGGCAGTCATCTAGTTTCCAGGGAGGAGATACGAACAAGAGGCTCTACGTCCCATGGGGAAAGGGGCCCTAGGTTACAGTGCTGCACCCCGCCGGCGCCCGAGTCCGAGGAGGAGCCCCATTCGGGCTTACATCACACTCAGGTCTGCAATCGCATACTGCAATGGTCCCTTCTTCTCACCCTTCTCCAATCGACGGTTGAAAAGCTCAGCAGGTCCCACAGCCCCTCCTGCCTCTCTCTCAGCGTCATCCAGGAGGTACTCCATGAGCTGCAGATCCCGGTGCACCTTGAGACCCCACTGATTCTCTGCATACTTCTGCAGTGTCCCTTGTGGGTCCACGGCTTCGTCGACGTCGAATTGAGCTAGAGTGACCTTGGTGTCTCCCGAGCTCACTGCCTTTTGGATGTTTGCGTGGACCTCAGTGAGGAGAGCAGACAGGAGAGCTACCGCCTGGTCGGGGGAAGAGGCCACAATGGGTGCAATGATCCACTGACTGCGCATCTTTCGCGTCGAGGCAAAGGCCGTCATCCGTGAGGTGCTCTCGTCTACAATGTAGGCGTGTCGCGAGCCGGGTAGTAGCGTCTTGCTCGTCTGCGAAGATGTCTGGTCAGCCGAGAGGACAGACATCTCACAGACTGAACGCCGGTCGAGCTCCGTCGCTTCGTCCTCCAACTGAATGAATTGCTCCCACACATCGTTGGAAAGCGATTCACCTCCCATGTGAAGTTTCAGTGAGGGGGAAGAGGAGAGGTGCGACTCGGGAGTAGCCAGGTCAGCCACAGGAGCTGGAGATCCCTTGACTGTCAAGATCCAGCCGTACTCCTTGAAGCCCAAACGGCGATAGACTGGTCGACCACTCTCAGTCCCATTGAGGACCAGAGAGCGGATCGGTTGTCCTGAAGCAGTGGGTTGAGAGCGGGCAAAATCAAAGAGACCCCGGATAAGCTTCGTTGCCAGTCCTTTGCCGCGGTACTCGGGCAGAGTGATCGTGGCGCCGACGGTAGCCAGAGCGCCTTGAGGAAATGTGCAGGATATGCCCACAACTTTTTCCGAAGATGTACTGTCGCTCCCATCCTTCCCGTCCTCGCTGTCCTGTCCCTCTGGGGTTGTGGAGAAGAGGAAACACCCATGATGAACCCATTGCCGCCACGTGTCGATGGTGTAGTGCCACCCTACCGATTCAGTCAGCCCGAGACAGATCTCTGCATCGCTACGGCTGCCTTCCGTCACTCTCCGGAGCCCAAAAGAATTCTTGTCTGCACTTGCCGAAGAGGTAGCCATCTCTAGAGTGCGTATTGACGGCGGCAGTGGTAGCCTGGGTGGCCCGAGCAGTGTGCTTCCTTCTAAGTTCCCAGCGGTGTGGAGCTGGGCGCGTCATCGCGCGCCTGAGGCGGGCGGAGGCTCAGCCAAGAAGGGGCCAGGCGGTGACGACGGAGCGGAGCAGAAGAGACCATCCCTCTCACACCGCCCGACCCAGCAAGGCAGGACAATTCTACACTGAGCAAGACTTAAGCCATCCGAGATTGGCTTGACGATCCTTGCCTTTGCTTCCTCATACACATCCGCAGCTGCAAGGTCTTTTCTCGAGCTCATACCCTATTCCAGACTCCAGGTTGACCAGTACTTCAACGACGGGCACACAGTCAAGAGCCGCTTGCGATCCGCCCTCTGAGCCATCAGCCTAGATCTACTGGACCTCGACAGCTCTTGAGGTCCCCTCCTCCTATCAGACCTCACCCACCACTACCTCGACGTCCTCCACAATGGCACGTCCCGTCGCCTCTACACCGCACCTAGTCTGGGCCGCAGGCCACTTCATCACCTTCGCCGCCGGGCTCCGCTACCTCATCGGTGTCCTCTTCTTCTCCGCCGGAAGCCTCTCGCGATGGTACACCGTGGCTTATCTAGGAGCCCTCGTCTCGTATGGAGTAGTGGTATACAAGGCATTTGGTGTGCCACAGATGAACAAGGCTTATGTTAGGAGGACAGCCATGGATGAGAATGTGCAGTACCTATTCTTGGCAATGTACTGGTGGATTAACAAGCCAATCTTCCGTGAGTGGGCTCGGATGCCAAACGATAGTCAAGAAGAGCTCGTCAAAGACTGACCAGCTGCTTCTTATATGTCCTTACTCTGCAGTCACTCTCGTCCCATACGTGACATTCTCCTTGTTCCACGTCCTCACCTTCTTCCGCACAACGGTCATCCCCATGGCCTTCCCCTCTGCCGCTCCCGCCCCTGCCGGCAAGACTGAGACGGCCGCAAGTCAGACTACTCCAGCCAAGGCGAGCAAATTCGTGCAGACGTGGGTCAAGAAGAACTACGACCCAGCCATGCGATTCGTAGCCTACTCCGAGGTCTTCATCTTTGCACGGATCTTGCTAGGAGCCATTACCCTGCGCAACTCCCTCCTGGCACCTCTCCTCTATGCACACTTCCTCCGCTTGCGATTCTACATGTCCTCCTTCACACGTGCTGCTTTCCAGCACGTGGGAGGTGTACTGGACAATTTGACCAACAAGCCCGAGTGCCCGCCGTTTGTACGCAAGGGATACTTGACACTCATGGACCTGATCAACCGATATGCTAGCACTGTCCTCAGTGTGCCTGCTAATGGTGCTGGAGGAGCAGCGGGTTCAGCAGGAGCATCTTCGGCGGCGAGCGGATCAGCTACAGGCGTGGAAGGCGCTGCGTCTTCGGCAAACAGACGCTAGAGAGACGGAGAAACGAAGGGCGCGAGGGACTGAGTACGATCAGCGGTGGGTCAGACGAACGCAGCAGCGCTTTGCTGGACATTGAGAAGGAGGGAATTATCCAGGATGGTAGTGGAAGTGTGGAGGAGGCGAGCAGAGTAAGGGAGAGCGGGCTCCAGAGCTCGACCTCGATCTTGGAAGAGTCGAGTCTCACAAGCAATGCGAGGTAACTGCAATAGTGACGCTTGCTTTCCATCCTCCGCAATTTGAACTTTACGATCTAGCCTACGAATGTCATATCCTTGATCGCTGAATATTGCTTGTGGTGGTGCTACTGAAACGTGGCGCATAATGCTCGGCAGGTAGGCAGGCTTGCGGGGGCGAGTTTAATCTGTTCCTACCGCTACCCCTCACCGGTCTGTGCAACCTCAAGTATGTCTCACTTTCGCCTTAGCCTCAATGTAAGCGAGGTCAAGTATCCTTGGCTTTGGTCTGGCGAGTTGGCAATCGTGAAATCCGATCCGAGAAGTAGACTCGCTTGCTGAGTCCCTGTCTCGGCCATTGCCCGTGACTCGCGGCTGGTGGCCATTTGCCCGCGCAATCGATTGCCTCCGCCTCCGCTCCGTCCCCGTCCGCTCTGAGCGTGCGGGCGTGCAGGCCGGCAGGCGGACGATGGACGGATGGACGATGGACGACGGGACGAGAAGAAGAGTCAATCAACCGCACCCACCCACACCCCCAATCCGTCCGTCGTCCGTTGTACGCTTGGGCGCCGCGTTGCTTTCCCTCCTACCCTCCTTCGACGTACCGTCTTTTGCACGTCTCCACTCTCTTGACGAGACAGAGCTCTGCTTTGGAGCTGCGACTACAGTTAGCAGATCGAGGCTAGATCGGCGAACGGGTGCATACGCACACGCGTAGCCGCACGCATACGAGCGTCTGTGACCTCCCTCTTCCTCAGTCTCCTCAAGTATTGCGACAGACATGGCGAATCTCCCAAAGCCGTCTGATTCGGCCAAGGGGGCCAAGCTGAGCGTGCTGCTCGGAACCCAGTGGGGTGATGAAGGCAAGGGTGAGTGGGTTCTACCGGACGGGACAGACTAGCTTGCTGGTGGAGCAGAGCGCATACAGCTGCCCAATCCACTTCGAGAGAATCGCTTAGGGATCCTCTGAGGCTCATCAAGTCTTCAGCTTCCCTCATGCTAATCACCACTTCGCCTTTGTCCCTCCTTCGCCCACTCCAACAGGCAAGCTGTCCGACATTCTCTGTCAGGAGATGGATGTATGCGCTCGCTGCGCCGGAGGAAACAATGCTGGACACACAATCGTCGTCAACATGGGCCCCGAGAAGGTCAAGACGAAGTTTGACTTCCATTTGCTCCCTTCTGGGCTGGTCAACCCCAACTGCATCGGCTTCATCGGCTCTGGAGTCGTCGTACACGTCCCTTCGTTCTTTGCCGAGTTCGACGCCTTGGTCAAGAAGGGCCTCAACTGCGACAACAGACTCTTCATTTCTGATCGAGCCCACCTCGTCTTTGACTTCCACCAGGTCGTCGATGGTCTAAAGGAAGTTGAACTGGGCGGCAGCAGTATCGGCACAACGAAGAAGGGAATCGGACCGGCCTACTCCTCCAAGGCCTCCAGGTCTGGTCTCAGGGTTCACCACCTCTACGACCACGACACTTTTGCGACAAAGTTCCGCAAGCTGGTAGACGGTCGCTTCAAGCGATACGGCCACTTTGAGTACGACACCGAAGGAGAGATTGCCCGCTACAAGGCCTTCGCCGAGAGGTTACGACCCTTTGTCGTCGATGGAGTGAGCTTCATTCACGCAATGCTGGCTCAGAACCGACGAGTGCTAGTCGAGGGCGCCAATGCCTTGATGCTCGACCTCGACTTTGGTACCTACCCCTTCGTCACCTCTTCCTCGACATCGATAGGTGGAGTTTGCACAGGATTGGGCGTTCCTCCCACTGCTATTGGCCAGATCTACGGTGTGGCCAAGGCATACACCACACGTGTTGGCGGAGGTCCCTTCCCCACAGAACTGACCGACGAGATCGGTGTACACCTGCAAGAAGTGGGCGCCGAGTGGGGCGTGACCACTGGCCGAAGGAGAAGGTGTGGCTGGCTGGATCTCGTGGTGCTGCGATATTCGACCTTGATCAATGGCTACACTTCCTTGAACCTGACCAAGCTCGACGTGCTGGACCAACTCAAGGAGATCAAGATTGCTATTTCGTACAAGGTCAACGGTCAGGAGCTCGCCTCTTTCCCTGCCGACCTGGACATCCTGGCCAACGTCGAGGTGGTCTATCACACCATGCCCGGATGGGAGCAGGACATCAGTGGCTGCCAGACTTTCGAAGAGCTTCCCAAGAAGTGCCAGGAATACGTCGAGTACATCGAGGAGTTCCTCAGCTGCAGAATCGAGTACATTGGCGTGGGCGCAGGCAGGGAGTCGATGATTCACCGGAAAGCGGCCTGAGGGTCACAGAGATAACGAACGCGCGGACGCCGGGTCAGCGTGGCAATTTTGCCGAACTTCGACACGTGGTGTATGCTGCCGGTCAGACGATGAAATTGAGCCGGTATAGAGCTGTGCGTGGGTACTGACGTGTGCTATGTGTGTTCCCATCAGACGACGAACAGGCCAAATTCCTTCCAGCTATGCGCTGCAATTGGCAACGCCGGGAAGAACCGGCGTCGGCGCCTGGCCGAGGAAGGGCTACAATGTGGGCCGTGCCAAGTTCGAGTGCTGCGTCCGTGCGAAGAAGAGATGGCTGCGGGGGCCAGACGGGAACGAGCACGGAGCAAGAACGGGAACTAAAAATGAGCACGAGTAGCTGGTCGAGAGTGGCGTACTGCCCTCGGCCAGGTGGGTGTGGCGTACAAGGTGGGATTGGTAAGACGGAAGGAAGCGGAGTGTACGTTACGTGGCCTGGAGCGTCGAGGCACCGGGCATCAGCGGAGGAAGCGCAGTATACGCCCGTGTAAGGCCGGGCACGAGATCAGCGGAGAACAGGCACAAAGAGGCCGCCTCTCGTTCCCGAGGCCTGGCGCCAGAGGACATGCTGAGGTAGACTCCCCGCGGGGCAGACCTCAGCATCTGGCGAGTGTGTTACCTGTGCGTCTTTTTCTTTTTTCTTTCCTTGTCTCTTCCTTCCTGGCAGCTCTTCACTGGGCGCAGTGCCTGTGCGGATGGATGACTCGCCTGCCCCGCCCGGCAGACGAGGCAGGGCGGGGCTGCACTTGCGAGGCAGCACAGACTGACTGTTCCTGAGCCGCCTGGCGCTGACTTGATTAACAATTGGGTGCAAGAGCCGGCTGCCCGCTCGCTGTAGCCCTTTTTTACCCAGGGAAGTCTAATCCCTTACCCTTTCTTCCTCTCCCTTGTCCATACCGTCCAATCCTTCTCCTGTGACAAAGACGGACCATCGCCACTTCCGCCTTCCTACCGATCCCTTTCACCCGCTACGGTCCACCAACCACCTTGTACGCGAGGAATATTAGAGCGACGCTGAGCGCCTGCCTCCCGTCACCTCACCATCCTTGCCACAAACCCGCTTCGCAGCATCGCGTCTAGCCACCACTTCGACAGCCTCAGAACGGCCATTTTTCTTCCTACACAAATTTCCCTTTACGTAGATTGTATAGTGGGATCTCTCTTATACATTTGTTCCCGGTATCGAATATACCTCTCAAGGGGCGACGTTATCACCCCATAGACGAGACCTTTCTTCCGCTTTAGACTTTATCACCACTTCACTACCTGCTACTTCGCAACATGGCTCGCAACCGCACGCGCGCCCCTCGCGTGATGGAGAAGGAGGCATGGCAACTGCCCCCCGTTGAGGAGCATCAGGAAGCCACCACATCCGCAGACGTCTGGACCAGCGGATACGATGCCGTTGAGCGAGACGAGACCACTTGGGCTGGATCTCTTCCCGCAGCCCAGGGTCTGTACGACCCAGAGAACGAAAAGGACTCTTGTGGTGTCGGTTTCATGTGCCAAATCAAGGGAAAGCCTTCGCACAAGATCGTATCGGACGCTAAGGCGCTTCTGTGCAACATGACTCATCGTGGAGCTGTTGGTGCCGATGCTCGAGACGGAGATGGTGCTGGTGTCATGACGGGAATGCCAGATGCCTTCTTCAGGCGAGAAGTTGAGCGAGACATTGGCTGCACACTGCCCGAGCAGGGTCAGTACGCCGTGGGAAACCTTTTCTTCAACCCCAAGGACGAGGGTGTGAGGCGCAAGCAGATTGAGACATTTGAGAAGCTCGCTGGTGACCTTCACCTTCGTGTGCTCGGGTGGCGTGAGGTTCCCGTTGACAACACTATCCTGGGCCCTGCTTCTCTCTCCAAGGAGCCCTGCATCCTGCAGCCTTTCGTCGTTCTCACCGAGCACTACGGCACGTCGTCTACAAGCTGCGAGAGCCCCGACAAGACTTTCAACTCTCAGTACTTTGGCCGTCAGCTCTACGTGCTGCGCAAGTTCTCCACACACTCCATTGGTCTGCAGAACTGGTTCTACATCTGCTCCCTCTCCCCTAGCAACATCGTCTACAAGGGTCAGCTCTCCCCTCGTCAGGTCTACGACTATTACCACGACCTGAACAACGCCCACTACGGCTCCCACTTTGCCCTTGTCCACTCCCGATTCTCTACCAACACCTTCCCCTCATGGGACCGTGCCCAGCCCATGCGATGGGCTGCACACAACGGTGAGATCAATTCGATCCGTGGTAACAAGAACTGGATGCGGGCTCGTGAGGGCCAGCTCAAGTCTGAGACTTTCGGTGACGAGCTCGAGATGCTCTACCCCATCATCGAGAACGGCGGCTCCGACTCGGCTGCTTTCGACAACGTGCTTGAGCTGCTCGTGGTCAACAACGTCATCACCCTGCCCCAGGCCGTCATGATGATGGTGCCCGAGGCTTGGCAAGGAAACGAGCACGAGATGGAGCCTGCCAAGGTTGCCTTCTACCAGTGGGCTGCCTGTCTTATGGAGCCTTGGGACGGACCAGCTCTCTTCACATTCTCTGACGGCCGGTACTGTGGTGCCAACCTGGACCGAAACGGTCTACGACCTTGCCGATACTGCATCACCGATGACGACATCATGGTCTGCGCTTCCGAGACTGGTGCTGTCACCATTGCTCCCGAGCGTGTTCTCGCCAAGGGCCGTCTGCAGCCCGGAAAGATGCTGCTGGTAGACACTGTCGAGGGCCGAGTCGTCGACGACCGTGAGCTCAAGCTCTCCACTGCCAAGAAGGCTGACTTTGCCGCTTGGCTCGAGTCGCACGTGATGAGTCTGCCAGACATTGTCAGTGCGGTCAGCCGACGCGGTGTGGATATCGCGCCCAAGCTCAACGATGAGAAGCTCAGCACGGACGCACGTCTCCTTGCTGCCGGTTACACTGCCGAGCAAATTTCCCTCTTGATGCTGCCCATGGTGGCTGACGGTAAGGAGGCTCTCGGATCGATGGGTAACGACGGTCCTTTCGCCTGCATGGCCAATGCCCCTCGTCTCATGTACGACTACTTCCGACAGCTCTTCGCTCAGGTCACCAACCCTCCTATCGACCCTATCCGAGAGGCCGTTGTCATGTCGCTCTTCCAGTACGTCGGACCAGAGGGCAACATTCTCGAGCTGCGCCCCGACCAGTGCCACCGTCTCTTCCTGGAGTCGCCTTTCCTGGACATTCGTCAGATGAATGCCATCAAGAACCTGGACAAGGCCGCAGGTGGCTGGTCCACCAAGACCGTCGACATCACCTTTGCCAAGTCCGAGAGCATCGACGGCTACGAGAGGGCCCTCGACCGAATCTGCTCCGAGGCTTCTCAGGCTATCCGGGACGGCTACAAGGTCCTGGTTTTGTCTGACCGCAACGTCGGACCCGACCGTGTGTCGATCAACTCTCTCGTTGCTTGCGGTGGCGTTCACCACCATCTCATTCGCAACAAGGAGCGTTCGAAGCTGGCTCTCATGGTCGAGACTGCTGAGGCACGTGATATCCACCACTTCTGTGTCCTGGTCGGATACGGTGCTGATGCCATCTGCCCATGGCTCGCCATCGAGGCCATCTACAAGGTTGGCCGTGAGGGTCTGCTGAAGACTGAAATGAGCGATGCGGACCTGGTCAAGAACTACAAGAAGTCCGTTGACGGCGGTATCCTCAAGACGATGTCCAAGATGGGTATCTCTACTCTGCAGTCTTACAAGGGTGCTCAGATTTTCGAGGCACTCGGACTGGACTCGTCGGTTGTCGACCGATGCTTCGCCGGTACCGCTTCGCGCATTGCTGGATCCACCTTTGACCTGCTTGCCCTTGACGCACTGGAGTTCCACGAGCGTGGTTACCCCACTCGAGACACCATCTCCGTACCTGGTCTCCCCGAGTCTGGCGAGTACCACTGGCGCGATGGTGGCGAGGCCCACGTCAACGATCCCGTGTCGATTGCCAACCTGCAGGACGCTGCTCGTGAGAAGAACCAGTCTGCTTGGGACGCCTACTCTAAGTCTGCCACCAACTCTGTCAAGGGCACCTGCTTGCGAGGTCTGCTCGACTTCCGCTTCGAGGAAGTCCGACCTATCCCCGTCGACCAGGTCGAGCCATGGACGGAGATTGTTCAGCGATTTGCCACTGGTGCTATGTCCTACGGAAGTATCTCCATGGAGGCTCACTCTGCTCTGGCCATCGCTATGAACCGTCTTGGTGCCAAGTCCAACACTGGTGAGGGAGGAGAAGATGCGGAACGATCCATCCCCTTGCCCAACGGTGACTCGCTGCGATCTAAGATCAAGCAGATTGCCTCTGGTCGATTCGGTGTCACATCCAACTACCTGGCCGACGCTGACCAGCTGCAGATCAAGATGGCCCAAGGTGCCAAGCCTGGAGAGGGTGGAGAGCTGCCTGGTCACAAGGTGTCTCCCTCGATTGCCAAGACGCGTCACTCCACTGCCGGTGTCGGTCTGATCAGCCCTCCTCCCCATTTGGATATCTTCTCCATCGAGGACCTGAAGCAGCTGATTTACGACCTCAAGTGCGCCAACCCGCGCGCCACCGTCTCCGTCAAGCTCGTCTCCGAAGTCGGAGTCGGAGTTGTCGCAGCGGGTGTCGCTAAGGCCAAGGCGGACCATATCGTCATCTCCGGACACGATGGTGGTACAGGTGCGGCACGATGGTCTTCTATCAAGTATGCTGGTGGACCTTGGGAGCTCGGACTTGCTGAGGCTCATCAGTCACTTGTCATCAACGACTTGCGCGGGCGAGTCACCGTGCAGACGGACGGACAGCTGCGGACGGGACGCGACGTAGCCATTGCCTGCCTTCTAGGAGCTGAAGAATTTGGGTTCGCTACGACTGCTCTCATCGCTATGGGCTGTATAGTCATGCGCAAGTGTCATCTCAACACCTGTCCGGTAGGTGTGGCTACTCAGGATCCGGTCCTCAGGTCCAAATTTGCAGGAGAGCCCGAGCATGTCATCAACTTCTTCTGGTACCTTTGCGAGGAATTGCGAGGCATCATGGCTCGCTTGGGTATTCGTACTATCAACGAGATGGTCGGCCGATCAGATCTTCTGAAGCCCGACACCAAGTCGGCTCTCACCCCCAAGCTGGCCTGCTTGGACTTGGCACCTCTGCTCAAGCCTGCTTATAAGATGCGACCAGGTGCTGCCACCTACCGTGTGCGAGCTCAGGACCACAGGCTGTACGTTCGACTGGACAACAAGTTCATTGACGAGGCTGAGCCTGCTCTGACTGAAGGTCTGCCTGTCCACATCGAGTGCGACGTCGTCAACACCGACCGTGCCCTGGGTACCACCCTCTCCTACCGAGTCTCCAAGCTCTACGGTGAGGAAGGATTACCTCGCGACACCATTCATATTAACGCCAAGGGATCGGCTGGTCAGTCTTGCGGAGCTTTCCTTGCACCCGGTGTCACCATCGAGCTGGAAGGTGACGCGAACGACTACGTCGGAAAGGGAATGTCTGGTGGTCGTCTCATCGTCTACCCGCCCAAGAGCTCCTCCTTCAAGGCCGAGGAGAATATTATTGTCGGTAACGCCTGTCTGTACGGTGCCACCTCGGGTAACGCTTACTTCCGTGGTATCGCCGCTGAGCGTTTCGCCATTCGAAACTCCGGTGCCCACACCGTCGTTGAGGGTGTAGGAGACCACGGCTGTGAGTACATGACTGGTGGTCGTGCCGTCATCTTGGGTCCTACTGGTCGCAATTTCGCTGCTGGTATGTCTGGTGGTATCGCCTATGTCCTGGACATGAACCGAGACTTCAGGACCAAGTGCAACCAAGAGTCCGTCGAGCTAGGACCTGTCCGTGACCCTCACGAGATTGCCGAGTTGCGCAACCTCATCGAGAACCACCGACACTACACTGCCTCGACCGTGGCAGACCACGTCATTCACGACTTCCACCACCTCCTGCCTCGCTTCGTCCGTGTCATGCCCATTGACTACAAGCGAGTCCTCGAGGAGGAGGCTGCCAAGGCTGCTGCCGAGAAGAAGCGCTCTAGCCATGTCGACTTGCTTGGCACCCTCTCTCGTCACGGATCTCAGGTCGACGTCACTCTTGGAGATGACAAGGCTTCCGATGTCGATGTCGGCTCCGGAAACGTCAAGGAGAAGTCTGAGCCAGCCGTTGTTGACCTCGAGGACTCCATGGTCGACGAGGACACTGCTCGTGTTCGTGTAGGCAAGCTGGACAAGACACGCGGCTTCATCAAGTACAAGCGACTTGCGGAGCACTACCGAACCCCAGCCAAGCGAGTCAAGGACTTCAAGGAGCTCTCGACTCGTCTGACCAACAACGAGCTCAAGCAGCAGACTGCTCGGTGCATGGACTGTGGTGTTCCCTTCTGTCAGTCAGACACAGGATGCCCCATCTCCAACGTCATTCCCAAGTGGAACGACCTGGTCTTCAAGGGTCAGTGGCAGGACGCTCTCAACAAGCTGCTCCTTACCAACAACTTCCCCGAGTTCACTGGTCGAGTCTGCCCCGCTCCTTGTGAGAGTGCTTGTGTGCTGGGTATCATTGAGTCACCCGTCGGCATCAAGTCCATTGAATGCGCCATCATCGATAAGGGATGGGAGATGGGCTGGATGGTTCCTCGACCACCCAAGACCCGCACTGGCAAGACCGTCGCCGTCATTGGTTCCGGTCCCGCTGGTCTCTCGGCAGCTGACCAGCTCAACCGTGCTGGTCACTCCGTGACTGTCTACGAGCGAGCTGACAAGGTCGGTGGTCTGCTCTACTACGGTATCCCCAACATGAAGCTCGACAAGGGCGTCGTTGCCCGCCGAGTCAAGCTCATGGAGGACGAAGGTGTCACTTTCTGCACTGGCGTTGAGATCGGCAAGGACATCGATGCTGGAGATCTCAAGGAGCAGAACGACGCAGTCCTCTTCGCCACTGGAGCTACCTGGCCCCGTGACCTGAAGCTCCCCGGCCGAGAGGCTGAAGGAGTGGCCTTTGCCATGAGCTACCTCACCTCTGCCACCAAGTGTGTCGACAAGGGACTCACCGATGAGGCCATCAACGAGCACATGGCTGGCCTGAACCCTGCCGGCAAGCACATTGTCGTCATCGGTGGTGGTGACACAGGAAATGACTGTATCGGTACCTCTGTGCGAATGGGCGCCGTCTCGGTGACCAACCTGGAGCTGCTGCCTCAGCCACCCGAGACCCGTGCTCGCGACAACCCATGGCCTCAGTTTGCCCGAATCTTCCGAACTGACTACGGTCACACCGAGGTGACCGACCGCTTCGGCAAGGACCCTCGTCGCTACTGCACCACTACCAAGGAGTTTGTCAAGAACGAGGAGGGCAAGCTCGTTGCGCTCAAGATCGCTCAGGTCGACTGGCAGAAGGACGCCTCTGGCAAGTGGAACATGGCCCTTGTGCCTGGCTCAGAGGAGGAGATCCCCTGTGACATCTGCCTGCTTGCCATGGGTTTCCTCGGACCTGAGGACCATGCTTCGCAGAGCCTTGGACTCGAGAGGGACGGCCGCAGCAACATCAAGGCCGACTGGGAGGGACCCAAGTCTTTCCAGACGTCTGTGGAGAAGGTGTGGTCCAGCGGTGACTGCCGTCGTGGTCAGTCTCTCGTGGTGCATGCCATCAACGAAGGAAGGAGGGCCGCTGCCGCCCTCGACTTGCACCTCCAGGGCAACACCAGGCTCGCCTGGGCCGGTGGTATCGCTCAGCGCAGCTGGACGGCCCACAAGACGTACGCCCAGGGCAAGAAGGCCATTGCTGCCCCTGCGGCTTAATCTGGCGCGGTAGCTTCTCATTTTCCTTTTACATTCTTTGTCCCGTCTTGCGCCTCTATCTTCTTTTGTCTCGTCTTCGTGTCTCGTTCTCCTGTTACTTTCCTTTGTGCCAAGAATCAATTCTGAACGAAATGATGAGCAACTGGCTGAGTGAAAAGTGCAAAAAGGATCGGTTCTCGTGGGGCTCATAACATGAGACAAAACGGAGTGGCATCAGATTGGTATTAGCTTGGACAGCACTCTCCAGGGGCATGATGGGATACAAGATAGACAAGCCTGGTTGCGCATCACCATACCCGCTTCTGACCTCCCTCTCTCCTTCCTCGACATCAAGGATGTACAAACGTCAATATCTCCTCTGCAAACCTATTCAACAGATTTCTCAAATCTCTCCTGCGCATATTAAGTTCTCCATCCGCTAGCGCCTCATCAATCGTATGTCTCCCATCCAAGTAAGGTGTGAGCCTCCTAAATGCATCAGAAACATCGTCTTTGCCTTCGAGCATGGCGTGGATCCAGGCACTCTCCTCTCGACTGGCACGATTTGGCACAGAGATTAGAGAAGGGGTAAAGTCATAGGAGGGCTCGGGGAACTCTTCTTCGAAGTTCTGGTTGAGGTAAGGGTTTTGGGATAGATCGGAATCGCCGTCGGAGTCGTCATCGTCGTCAGCCGAGCCGTCTGAAGAGAAGGATGTGCCTCTGCGCCCTCCTCTATCCGAAAGACCGGGGTGAAGATCGAAGGTGGCATGCTTAGAGCGCACAGACTCATGGACAGAGTTGTGTAGCCCGGCCGTCTCACGAACTTGCGGGGTGTCTGGGTCAGTACCAAGCGATGGAGACGCTTGAGCTGCTGCTGCTGCCGCCTGCACCTCTGACTCCTCTTCACCGACATTGCTCAGCCTGCGAGCTTCCTCTGCAGCAGGCACTAGCCCGACTTCCTCTTCATCCTCAACCTTGACCTCCTCACCATCGATCCATACCTCTTCCTGATCGCCGAAACCCCTCACCCTCATCCTCGCTCTGGAAGGGCTGCGAGATAGGCGTCGCTGGGCAGCCATATGAGCTGGTAGGGCAGACCCACTGGCGGACGATTCGCCTCGAGGTCGACCTCGGCCTATACCGACACCACCTCCAGAGGCGGCGAACTGGTGACTCTCGGTCCTAGGCGATGAATGATGACTTGCTTCGCCACTTCCTACAGAGTTAGCCGTCCCGCCCCTGACCATGCTCAGTGCTCGTCGCCTGTGTTGCTCCGCTAGAAAGGATGCTGCCCTATCTCGAGTGAAACTGTTGACGGGTTGCAGGACAGCTCCGCTGCCGGAGCTGTTGTCTTTTGCGTGAGTCACCACCTCGAGACCTGTAGGGAGATTGGAGCTAGGACTCCTCGAGCGCTGTACTGGTCGTCGCTCAAACTCCAGAGCAGTCTCAGTACCACCCTGACCTCGGCGATAGCTGCCTTCCGGGGTATACACGCCTGAACCTCCTGCAGCTGAAGTCAGTCGACCAAGTGCGCTAATCCTACCTAGTGGCAGGGGATTGCGCGATCTTGAGCGTGACGAAGATGACGAAACCCGAGAGGCAGCGTTCTTGGAGGCCAGAGGGTCGTCTTTCGAGGTTCCTCTTGACCGGTCTCGCGCCTCGGCAGACCTCGACCTCGGACGTGGTGCTCTGCCTCGGTCGCCTTCCTCAATTGGCGCTCCTACAGAGGTCGTCTGGAAACCTGAGCCTCCGGGGGCTGATTGAGGTACCAAGGGCACCAGCTCACCCTCACGGCGGCTGGGGTCTGGCCCCTTCTTGAGTGCTCTCCTCTCTCGCCTCCACTCCTTGAGTTCCTCGCGTCGATGCAGTGCCTCATCTCGCAACGCTCTCTGCTCTTCCCACATCTGCCTCGCCTTGCGCTTGACAGCTTCACTAGCGATGAGGCGGAAGCGGAGGTGCTGCTGGATGATGATCTCGTGGCGCAAGAGCCAGATCAGAACATCAAAGGCGTTTTGACGCCTTGTTGGATCTTTCTGAGGCTCCTGGCTGGACGATGCCGCATTCGAAGAACCTGAGTGTACGCTCAGCCAGTGGTTGTAGAAAGGCTGAAAGGATGAGCCAAGGGCAGCAAGGAGACGTGGTAGCGGTTGTTGCTGTGGAAAGCGCAAAGCGAAGCTTGTGGAGAAGCGGGAGATGCTTGCGAGGTCGACAAGAGGACTGAGGCCATATGTATTTTGTATCATGGGCACGTCAATGACCCGAGCTTGCTTGTAGTAGACCAGATGCCTCGCCATTGGGTATACGTCCTCTTCCAGATCCCAGCCCAGAAGCGCTGCAAGTTCGTTGAAGGTGAGAAGACCCGACACAGTTGGCTTGAGGAGGGCGGTGAATCTCTTCGCCCAGATCTCTATTCCTGCATCTGCCAGACCAACCTCCTCTAGCTCGTCCAAGGACGACTCATCGTCAGTCGACAACTCAACGACTTGGCCTCCAAGCGAGCGATACCTCTTGATCTTGGGCACGTCCTCGTCTTCGGGGTCCGAGAGCAGGAGTAGGGTCTTCCATGGGAAGAGAGGCGGTCCACTAGCCTTGGTCCACTCATCTAGCGCGGCACCTGTACCTCTCACTAGCTCTCCTGCGCCTCTGCCGCCTTCTTGCTCCGCTCTCATCTCAGCATTGACAGCGTCGATGCTAGGACCCAGCTCCATGATGCTTTTCACCATTCTTGCAGGGTCCACAAGGAGAGGCGGCAGCTGCAAATGAACGTCGAGCTCATTGACGGTGACAAAGGGGGTTCGATGAGGAGATGGGCGCGAGAGGCAGCGGTATAAATTTCGGAAGCAGCGAGCCATGGACGAAGTCAGGAGTATCCGATTGAGGTGCAGAGCATAGGATGGTCCGGAACCCGAATTACCTTCGACTTCCCCCCATAGCTTGAAGAGGACATCGGCTTCTTCAGAGACGTACGAACATCTCTGCTCTTCAGCCCAGAGTGCTGCTGTCATCTTAAAGCAGACATTGTCGTACCAGAAGCCAAGCCATGTCGTGAGATCCAATGACGGAGCAGCGTACGACGGGTCTGGTGATTGTAGCACGAGGATAAGGTGAAACAGTGTCACTTCGGGAGTTGCTGAAGATCCAGTCGATGCCGACGGAGGCGCACTTGCGGCTCCCAAATCAGAGGACTGCTGAGCGCTTCTTCCTTGCCTACCCCTCTCATCCTGGTCGTCAGGAGAGTCGGTATTTTGGGTATTCCGAGACTTCGACGGTATACGGACAGGATGGCCCACGAAGGTGAGATCATCGACGGTGAAGTCAAAGCGACGATTGCAGAGGTCCCTATCCGGAGCGAGGAATTCGGCCAAGTCTTCTACAGGAAAGCCAAGATATGTAGAGAATGCTTTTGCATTCCGAGCTCGCCTGCTGGGCGAATGCTCCTTGATGGACTTCCGAGGGTCCCGAAGCTGCTGTTGGTCCGTCGCTGTGAGCGTCAAACCCCTTCTTCTGGCCCTTCCAGCGCTTTCACCCGCCTGCGAATGACGCTCTGGGGAGTACTCGACTGTGGGATCTCTGAGCGAGGATGACATACGAGCTACAGACGGACTCCGCGCACGCCGTTGACTGGAGACCCGGCTGGAAGAGGCCGGATTGCGTGAGGAGTACCTGAGTGACGAGGAAGGATCAATGTCCCGTCTTGAGCGCCGCCCGACAGAAGCCGCAGGCCCGGTGCGAGAGGTGCTCAATGCCTCGGATGCGCTCTCGTTGTCTGTGAGCTCGCTTGCTTCGGTGATACTTCGCTGGTCAGAGTCGCTGCCGCTAGCAGACTCATGATCAGAGGAGCCAAAGGATCCATCGTCGCTACTGGTGCCCTGATCGCTCAAGCTGGAGGCTTCGCTATCTTCACCTTGCTCTTCCCACTGGGCCCAATTGTGCTGTTCGTCTGCGCCTATGCTGAAGCCGTCAGTGGCCGTGGATCCTCTGCCATATGCGCTCTGAGAAGCCTCGCCAGCCCATTCAGCCTGTTGTCCAGCATAGTATTGTACTTTGGAAAGTCGACGCAGGGGGCGCGGCTTGCGTGGATACCGGAAGACGACCTGAGGCGCCCGCGAGGAAGTGGACGTGACGAGGAGAACGGCGACCAGGGACGAGGTGTTGAGGTCCGAGGTGTTCCCAGCCATCGGCGGCGCTCCTCAAGCAGTACTGTAGTCCTCCTGTGCGGCACAGACGAGGCGAGGGACGAGTACGAGGCCGCTACCTTGGATCCAGGAAGATGTGAATGGAGATATCAGTGGACCCTACGCAGGCGGAAAGGGGAACATGGGCCCCAATCTCGCCTCGCCTCGGCAACCAGGCGCGCATCTTCCTCCCTCGACGTCCTCTACTCTCACCACCACCACCACCCATCACCATCACCAACACCACCTCTGGCCTCACGCTGGTAGTCGACGACGAACATGGCCACTGCTTCTGGCAAAGATGTGCGAGATATCCTCAATCTCCCACAGAGGCAGCACAACGATCCCTCGTCATCCACACAGGCCACCGCATCCACCTCCCGACCTCCTACCGGGCCTCCTACTCAGAAGACCAAGTCCAAGCCGAAGATTGATGGAATCACGCGTGAGCTCCACGCTCTGCTAGGCGACAATGCTCCCAGTCTCGCCGTCGCCCACACCGAGGCAAGGGCAATGCTCGGGCAGGATGGAGCTGGTGGAGCAGCTCGCGGCTTCCGGCCCAAGTTCAAGAGAAAGGAGAAGAAGGCGACGGGGTGGCAGTGGAAGCCATTCAAGAATCCTGCAAGGCCAGACGACCTTGTCCTCTATCACTGGGTCCCCGCCAAGGAAGGGGAGTCGAGCAAGACGACCACTGATCCTCAGTCGGCAGAGAAGGACTACTCCCATGCCGTTTTCAACACGTCTTCGGGGGTGTACACTTACTCAAGCGACGAGTACTCTCAGCATCTGCGCGACGACGATTGGACGAGGGAAGAGACCGACTACCTCATTGAGCTCTGTACAATGTACGATCTCCGCTTCGTCATCATTGCCGACCGATGGGATTTCCCAGCTACGGCTCACAAGCATCGCACAATGGAAGACCTCAAGGCCAGGTACTATGCCATTTGTCGTCGACTGATCAGGAGCCGGATTTCGGTAGAGGACATGGAGAGCCGGACAAGATTGCTGCAGACGTACGCTTTTGACAAGAACGCCGAAGTGGAGAGGAAGCAGGCATTGGCCCGTCTGTTTACCAGGACACCTGCTCAGCTAGCCGAAGAGGAGGCCCTGTACGTGGAAGCCAGGCGACTGGAGCAACAAGAGGCCAAGTTCTCCGCAGACCGAGAGGACCTACTAAAGCTCTTGGGAGGCTGGGAGAGAGTACCAGACGTCTCTGCTGGTCTCATTGCTGAAGCAGGCGCAGGTATCGCACCGGGCGCTCCCATCATCCCTGGAACTCCAGGTGCGGCGGCAGAGGATGCGGCCAACCAAGACGGCCGAAGGAAAAAGCGTCGCCTCGATGGCTCGGTGGTGGAAGAGGACACTGCTGCGGCTAGCGCCTCGCTTGCAACAAAGATTGGTCTCACCACACAGCAGCGAGCCGAGCTGAGGCAGGGTCGCTTTGATGAGCAGCACTGCATTACTCGCTTCGACCCCGAGTCCGTTCCCCTTGGACGACCTCCCTATCCTTTCCTCGTTGGGACACCCTCAACCTCCCCTCCCCTCGCCCCCTCGACCAACAATCCCACCTCGTCGCACGGAGTCTACCTGCGCTCCACTCGTCTCCTGGCACCAAGACAGACGCAGTACAATCGCACAATGCAGACCCTCGCCGAGCTCAATCCTCCCATCGGTCCTCGTCTTGTCTTTCCTACTCGCCAGAATTGCGAAAAATGGGAAGGATTGCTGGGTGCAGTCACTAGTGGGTTGGAGATGAAGAAGCAGACGGATAGGGTGGAGAGCGAGTTGAGGATTGCCAAGAATCGACTGGCGAGCTTGACTGGAGGAGGAGCTGGAGTTGGCGGTAGCGGTGGCGGTGCAGCTGTCGGTGCAGGGAAGGAGGGCTCGGCAGTCCCCTCGAACGCCGCTGCCGCTGCTGCTTCTGCAGCTAGATCCGCCAGGGGCAGTACAGTCGCCAGGACCAGTCGCTCTAGTCGCTCTCACACTCCCGCAGTAGGATTGGGAAATGCTGCCTCTCCTACTCCTACACCTACTTCTATGGATGTGGTAGATCAATCCATGGATCAGAGCAGGACTGGCGAAGAGAGTTTCCTTGATGCGAGGAGCGATACTGGTGCTGGAGCTGGTGCTGGCGCTGGAGTAGAAGGAGATGGTAAACCCGAGAAAGAGGGAGAGGGAGAGGGTGGAGCAGCTGGTCAGACTGGGGGAGATAGTATGGATGCAGATCTCGATGACGAGTAGAGAGGCGCAATTGATATAGTAGTAGTGGTGGTGGTGGTGGTGGATCTGATTTGTGTAATAGTACAGAATACATGCATGCAGCATTTAAAGCAATGGACGGACCTCATCTCATCTACTGCCTCTCGTCACTTCCGCTTCCTCTCGTACTAGTCTAGAGTACGCTCCCTTTCTCCATTTGCCCACCACCCTCTACTTCTTCCACATCCACATCCACATCCTCTGCCTCTGCTTCATCCACCTCATTCATCCCCTTTAGCTCAACCCTGCCCGGCCTTACACCCAATCGAGCATAGATGGTCGACATCTTCTTCTCTCCCGAGCTGATTAGCAGCCGCTTTGGAGCCGTCTGCTCTCCTCCAGCCCGCCCTATCCGTCGCTTCGAGGATGATGATGAGGAAGGCGAAGGGGAGATTACCGTCCCTTCTGCATCGAGAGTCTGTGCCGTGGTGTTAGCCTTGCCCATCGCCTGATTCCTGTGCCGGAGAGCAATCTCCTCGTTGCGTCTAGCATCCTCCAATGTGAGCCCCCGCACAAGGGTAATGACCGTGCCTGCTTTACGCTCCTGATTGAGCTTGCTATCCCGCCCGATCCGCGAGGTGCGGCCGGCGAGGTGGGCGTACTGAACCGGGTCGCGTACCGCCTCCATACCGAGGATAAAGACATGGCTGAGGTGAGGGATGTCTAGTCCTCGACCAGAAGTGGATTGGATGACGGAGACTCTCGGACTGGCCTCGGCTTCCTCTGCAGATGGTGCTGACTTTTGCAGTTCCGCGAGGGGCACGACGGGCATACCGAGCTGATTGAGGTGAGTGACTGTAGACCGGAGTGACCACTGAGGAGGAATGAAGACCAGTGCTTTGGTCACACCCTCGAGTGCGAACGTGTACGCTAGAGACTCGAGCATCGTCGTGTCCACTTCAGATGGAGGCAGCTGGAAGGATCTGACGATGTTCTGCTCCTGCAGCTCATGAGCTCGAGCTGCAACTTCCTCCCTCTCGCCCGCCTCTTCCTGCTCGTCTCGCCGTCCAGCTTTCGAAGTTTCGGAAGGTGGTTGCAGCGAGCGTCTGATCCGCTTTTGGGACAGGTTTCTCATCGCGGGCAGCAGACCCAGACCGTCTGGGCCCTGTTGTGTCCGTGTGGGTGGCAGCCCTTCATCCACTATGACGCAGACGTGATTCAGCTCGACAGGCATCGCTTTACCAGCCGACGCAGAAGAGTCAATATCCACCTGGTCCGCTTTCGAGCGCAGCCCTGTCATGCCTGACATACCCGTGAGATCGATCCACCGGCCCGTGACGCCTTGATCTCTGCCCCTACTTGGCCGTCGCCCAAAGGTGAGCTCATCCTGCTCCTGCTCCTTGATGCCAATACGTACCCAGCCCGTCTTGGCGCCCAAGAAGTGTCGCAGTACAGCGTTCGTTGTTGCCGAGCAGGCGACAACTTGGAGCGGCCTCTCGTAGCGCTTCAAGATCTTGGGCGGAGTCAGCCAGCCTTGCCCCTTTGCATGAAGTCGCTCATTGGCCAGATGTTGCGTCCGGCGATACCTCTCCGGAGGTCGAATCTCGTCACCCCTCTTTCCAGCAGATGGCTCAAGACCGGCAGAGGGGACCACTTGGCCTCCTGAGAAGGTACCGCGGATCTTCATGACTTCGTTGAGGAAGGTCAGGCCTGGCGGAGGGTGGACCATGTTGTTCCACACCATCTTGGCCGAAGGAAACCGTCCGGGTAGATCCAGCAAGGAGTCAGCTTCATCCAGGACCAAAGTCTGCAAGGTCTGCAGACCCAGGATGTTCGAGCCTTGCGGTTGGGAGAGGATCTCTAGCGCCCGCCGAGGAGTAGCGATGAGGATGTGAGGCGGGCGGTCGATGAGCTTGTTAACTTGCTGGTCGGGAGTCAGTTGCTGATCGCCTCTCACGACGACTTGTATCACTGAGTCGAGAGAAGTTGCGCTAGTGCTTGGTAGTAGCATCTTGGCCCAAGCGAGGTACTGCTGGGCGAGCTCATTGGTAGGCACAACGATCAGACTGGCAGTACCAGTGGTGGATCTGGTTTCCGTCTCCTTGCTGAAGGTGACTCGAGGCTTTGCCATGAGTGCGAGCAGAAGGCCAAAAGACTTGCCAGAGCCAGTGTGAGCTCGAAGGAGCACGTCATTCCGAGCTAGTACGGCTGGGATCATCCTTGACTGAGCGGCTGTTGGGCTTGTGATGAACGGATATGTCTCGATGAGCTGATGCGAGAGTCCAGTGGAGAGTCCGAGAGCCTAAGAAAGTCCGAAGCGAAGCAGCCGTTGTTAGCATCCCCTCGACAGCTGTCTATACCGCCCATGCTATTGTCCACTCACCTCGAACTTCGCTGCTATTTCAGCAGCCGTCTGACCATGCAATCCTTCTGCGTCTTCGGTGTCCTTTGCTTTCGCCTTCCCTTTGCTGGTCACCGGATCGGGGTGTGTGTATACCACATCTGCTTCCTGGGAGCGACTGCTTAGGGTAGCATAAGACCTGAAGCGGGAAATGGGCGTCTGCTTGTACAGAGCGGCAGGAAGGTTGTGAGGGAGCCAAGGCGCGGCTAGAGCAACGGGACTCCCGCCAGCTGTGTGAAGGAGAGAAGGCAATGCTGGTATGGCATCGAGACGATGGCCTCGCCTCCAGTTTGCCCAGGCTCTACCTGTCCCTCTGACCACGAGTCTCATTCCGAAGGGCTAGCGAAGATGATGATGGCAATGGCACCTCGGGTCTGGTATCCGCCTGCCTGTTCCACTTCTTCCAGCCTGATCCAAAAATCTGTCTGTGCCCGTCTGGCCACTTCCGTGTGGCGTGGAGCTTCTCTCTGTGCCCGCGCAACGCCTCTCACCGGATCGGAAGGAAGACAGGGGAAGGTGGGCAGCAGAGGCGGGGCGGGCGATGTGCTGGGAAGAACGTTGGGTGGCCTTGCCTTTTTTCCGCCTCTGCAAGTAACACTCTACCTCACACCAACATCACATCTAACCAACCCCATCACCCAACACAACTCTATTCACAATGGCCACCGAGCAGAGTGAGTCTCTCCTGCTATCCCTCAGTGGACTACTTACTTCGATGGTGCAGCGATGTTGCTGTGCAGCTACTGACACCCTGAACTGTCGTTCCGCACATTCCTCCCCCCCCCCCTCGCAGCCTTCATCATGATCAAGCCTGACGGCGTTCAGCGTCAGCTCGTCGGAGAGATCATCGGCGTGAGTAGCCCAGGCTGGCGCAAGTTACTCTTAAGGTTGTCCACTCGACCTCTTATTCTGACATTCTTCCTCCCCCGCCCCATTCCTCTGATTCAGCGATTCGAGCGCCGAGGATACTCCCTCGTCGGTATGAAGATGGTCCACGCTTCCAAGGAGCACATCGAGAAGCACTACGAGGACCTCGCCGGCAAGCCCTTCTACCCCGGTCTTTGCAAGTAAGTTCAAAGTGAAACAGGAATGGCGTGAGCGACTTGTTGAGTGGAGGCAGATGCTGACGCCGCTTCCTTGCCCTCGCTCCTCGCCCTTGCTTCCCTCTCTCTCAGCTACATGTCCTCCGGCCCCGTCGTTGCCATGATCTGGCAAGGAAAGGACGTCGTCAAGCAGGGTCGAGCCCTCCTTGGTGCCACCAACCCCTTGGCCTCTGCTCCCGGTACCATCCGTGGTGACTTTGCCATTGACGTTGGACGCAACATCTGCCACGGTTCCGACGCCGTGGACTCGGCAAAGAAGGAGATTGCCCTCTGGTTCGGTGCTCAGGACGGTGCCATCTCTTACAAGAGGGCCATCGACCAGTGGATCTACGAGTAAACTTGTTCGACTGCATCCTGTTGGTCTTTGAGTGTCACTCTTGCGTAGAAGCTTCTTGGAATAACATACATTTGTCCGAGGCAGAGCAGAATGGGCAGTGATATTGCGAGATGGGGTTTCTGCTACATCGCTCCCTCATACGCTGCGCCTCTTCAAGCCGCCTCTCCGTCGCTCCCCTCCCTCGGCCTACCCCACAGCACACACCTTCCGCTAGCACTCCCACCCATGACCCTCTCTCCAATCTGACTCCCCACACCTCCCGCAGGATGGAAGACGCATACGGCAGGTACTGCACTCTGCCACTCCTCATCGTATAGTCCACGCAGGTATTTCCCTTCTGCAGAGTACAAGTCAATACTTCGTCTCATGTTACCAATGGTAAAGTGATTTGCTGAAGTGGAGGTTGGAGTAGGTGCCCATCGCACACGGAAGAGGGTGAGCCATTTACCCGTTTGGTTGTTGTGAGGGATTACGAGTGGGGAAGCGAGGAGGTCCGTAGGTCGGGATTGAGCGCTGCTAGTAGCACCCTTCCGACCGTTGCCTTTGGAGGAGGAGGTGGAGGTCCCCTTGAGGTCTTCTACCTCTTCGCCTTCTTCCTTCTTGAAGTAGCGCATAAGCCCACCCTTCTTAGGTGTAGCATTACTCTTGGTAGAGCTAGTCGATGCTCGACCCTTCTTGGCGACAGTACCAGCACCGGCAGTAGCGCCCGAAACAACGTCGACGTCGAGCCATTCCTTGTCCATCTCCCACACCTTGACAACATCATCATAGCTCACTGCTGCTAATTTACTACCATCAGGACTGAAATCGACACTGGTGCTTGCCTGCTTGCTCTTCTTCCAACCTAGCTGGGCTCCTCCTTCAAGCACGTCTTGCTGGAGAAGAGAGAGCGTGTCTGGGTCTACATGCTTGTAGGTTGTTGGGATGAAGGAGGTCTGAGGGAGAGTTGAGAGACGACGAGTGTCAAAGAGGTGGATGGACTGGTCGAGGGAGGCCACGGAGAGGACGTGTGGGGACATTGGGTTGATGGACAGGCCACCGATCTAAGGGGAGGTAAGATAATGGGCTGTGTCAGCATAAGATACGCTGTGCTGTAGTATGCTGCTGCTCACCTTCTTTTCGCATAGCTGCCACCGCTGCCAATTGGAACCACCACCTCCTCCGCTCCCTCCATTGCTTCTCTTTGAGCGAGCACTCCCTGCACCTGGGCCAGGTGGAGCTCCAGGCTCTCTCAGATCGATGCGAACCACGCCTCCACGATGGTCACCACACCAGATGACATCTCCTCCGGCTGTAGCTCCTCCATCACCTTCCCGCTGGAAGTCAAAGACGCTCAATAGCGCTCCATCCCCTCCATCGTCGTCGTCTTCGGTGGAGAAGGAGAAGACTTGCTCCGATACACCCTTCTCCAGGTCAATCTTGCGCAGTGTCGAGTTGTATGAGGAAGAGAAGAGCTTGGTGGGATTGTGTGGTGGGACCTTGAGGCAGGAGATGGGCGAGGAGTCGTCGGGTATCCGGAGTGTGTAAGCGATTCCATCATCGCCTGTGACCTGATCTAGGTCCTCTTTGGACTCGGCGGTCTCGTCATCATCGCCTCCACTGGTGTGGGCCTTCTTAGCAAATGGCTCCCAAACGCCGATATGACCTTCTTTGTCTCCTGTGAAGAGCAGCTCGCGCTGCACGGAAGGATGCCAAGCTGCTGTGTAGAGACGCTTGGGAGTGACTTTCTTCGCGGCAAGGAGGTCCATCTTGTCAATCTCTTCTTGCAGCTCCTGAAGGGCGCGATCCGTGTCCACTTCATCTGTCTCGTCCCCCAGCCCTCCTCTCGCGGAGCTCTTCAAGCTAGCCTTTGACTTCTTCTCCTCTTCCTCTTCATCTTCCCGAGCAATGACTGCTTGTAGAGCTCCGATCAGTGCCTCTTCTTTCTTCTTGGCCTCTTCATCCTCACCCAGCAGGGCAAGCAACTTGTGTTCTTGATGCAGAAGCTTCTTGCTCTGAGCTCGCTTAAACTCCATTTCCTTCTTCTCTGCTTCGATTCTTTTGTTCTCCTCCTCCATGCCTGCCGGAAGTTTTCCTCTGAGCCTAGCAGAGGTCCTTGCGGGGCGAAGGTCTGGCCCTCCATTGGCAGCTTCGGCCTTGAGTCTCTTCTTTCGATCCTCTGCAGCTCGTATCCTCTGTTCGCTGAGTCGCTTCTTCTTCCTCTCTTCGACATCAGCTGCGCTCCTCTTTCTCTTGGTGCCCTCTGGGTCGACTAGTGCGGATCCGCCAGTGGAGAGTTCGAGAGAGGCGAGGAGGGCGGCATTCTCGGCTCGCTGCTTCCTGATTGTCTCTTCATACTCGTCTCCAGACTCGAAGTTGACCTCGTCGTCTTCGAGTGGAGAAGCAGTGCCGGAGTCTTGCGGGCTGCTCATGACTGAGGGCTGTGGCTGTACTCAGAGGGGGATGGTGCACTTCGACGAGTCGAGCAAGAGTCGCGTCAATTCCCCGCATGAGCCACCTTCCTTTCTTACGGAATGGAATGGGCGTGTCTCGCTTCCCGCGTTGCCTGAGGCGGTGGTGCTTCCGTTCCGTCAGGCCGCCCCGATAGGCCGCTCCGATGTGAGGTTCATTTGCAATGCGCCCGCGCTGGACCTCCGTCGGCCGATGGCTGGCTGCAGTGTGCTGCTTGGCGGTGCGTAGTCTGCGAAGAGACAGAAGCAACGAGGCAGGCAGGCGGGGGGACACACGCACACCCACAGGACCATCACCTTCTCCTTCATCACAGCCTCATCATAAGATTACAGGCACAACATCCTCTAAATACGACGATCATTGGCCTCTCCTCACCACGCTTGCTCGCACACGCGCAACACTTCGACTCTTGGTACCCCCCTTTGGCTCACCGCCTCGCCCCGACTGCAGTCGAACGTGCCCACCCTCCTCTTCTCCACCACAGCGTGACAGCTGAGAGTCGCTGCCACGGCTCACACAGCAGCAATGGCCACTTCCAGCGCCAGCGCAGCCCCTTCATCATCAGAAGCATCACAAGCACGCCCACCGCTGCCTAGCGATGGTCAGGCAGCTCAACCGCCCTTGTCGGACCCCTCGCTCCAGAACTTGAAGAGAACGCGGACACTGTACAACACCTTTCTCTCCCCCTCGGGCTCCACCTCCTTCTTCACCGGCTCTTGGTTCGAGAGCAGACCAATCAGAAATGATTCTTCCTCCAGCAGCAAGTCGTCCCTTTTCCACCCCTCGTCATCTTCGTCGTCATCTACCTCCTCGGACTCCGACTCTGCCGAGAGCTCATACAAGAATTTCCCCAGGAGATCCACCTACGAGCAATATCGTTCTCAGGAGCCTCCACAGGCTCGTCTGATACGACTTCGAGGTCTCTTTGATGTCCTGATGGACAACCAGAGGGACGCTTTGGCCGACGGAAGAGCAAAGGAGGCATGGACTGCCACAGCGAGGAGCGCCAGATACGGAGCAGGAGGCAGTCTCGCAAGAGGCACCTGGGCAGCAAAGGAGGCTGCAGACAAGGAACGGACACGCAATCGCAATTTGAGCGAAAAGGAGCGGCGACTGGATGCAGACAAGACTGATCCAGCCCTGGCAACGACTACGACGACTGCTTCGCCAGAAGCAGTCAAGGAGCCAGCAGTGCCCTCCCCGCCTTCACAAGGTTATGCCAAGGAGCTGCTAGCTCAATGTCGACAATGTAGACAGGAGCTAGAGGAAGAGAGAGAGAAGAGAAGACGGAAACATTCTGATCGCGACTCTGAAGAATCTTCTTCATCAGGTTTCTGGAGCAACATCTGGGGCAGTTCTTCATCCCAATCAGAAGCGGTGCTACAAGAACATTCCGGAGACGCCAATGCGCTGCTGTCACTCTGGTACTCAATGGTTGGCCCTCCCGCCGGTCAAGAGGATCAGCGTCCTCTCGAAGCAGACTACGATGGCGAGTCCGGCTACACTGGCTCTCAAGTCTGGGGTCTCAGCTCGGTCAAGGGTAGCTCGAGAGACCGGGAGCGGCAAAGCTCGCGGAGAGAGGAGGCACAAGCAAAGTCTCCCAACAGCGAGACTGAGAAAGAAGAAGAATTAGATGAAGACGGCCACTATGCCCGTGCGCTCATGATCGAATGGGAGGGTTTCTTGAAATATGCCGAGACCAAGGAGCGAGGTGAGTTGTGGTGGGCTTTGAGGCCGCATAGCCTGTCCAGCTGCTGACTTTCCTCTATTCCGCTTTGCAGAACTCTACAAGATCTTCTGCGAGCTAGATCGCAACGGAGATATGCGCTTAGATGCTGCCGAAGTGCGGCAGTCACTCAATAGAGCGGGCATCGACCTTCCTCCTGCTTCACTCGAGGACTTCATCGCCTCTCTCTCCAGCTCCACACGTACATCCAACCCGCACGAGCATTGGACCTTGCCGGACACGCAGAATGCCTACATTTCTTGGCCCGAGTTCAGAGACTATCTCTTGCTCCTCCCGAGGCGCACAACGGTGACAGAGATCTTCCGCTTCTACCAGGTGCGGAAGGCTTATGGCCTCTTTGGAGTGGGCGGCGTCTTCTCAGACTTTGGCAACAATTGGGGCAAGACGCATAGGCACGGAGCCACGACTGTCACATCCGATGGCGACGTGAGCCTGGCTGGAGAGGAGAAGAAGAGGAGCGAGACTGGCAGCAAGTCTGCCTCTTCCGAAGAGAGAAGGACTGGTAGCGGCTCGATATCAGACTCGAAGGTGTCCTCAGACGACAAGAGCAAAGATGCCGGCTCTTCCTCGGCTCATGATGGTGCTGATGGTCATCACGGTGACGAAGAAGAAGAGGAGGAGGACAATGACATGATTCACTCGGATGTTGCGCTCAAGTTCCTTCTGGCAGGAGGTATTGCGGGAGCAATCTCCCGAACGGCAACCGCGCCCTTTGACCGACTGAAGGTCTATCTCATCACCGCGTCTAGGTCAGAAGATACAGCCACAGCGGGGGCTCTCAAGTCTGTCAAGCAGGGTCAGACTGTAGCTGCCAAGGACGCGACCAAAGTGGCTGCTAAAGGAATGGGCGTTATCGGGTCCGCCGTGACGACGCTGTATCGTGAAGGTGGTGGTCTGAAGGCGTTCTGGCTGGGCAATGGCTTGAACTGCATCAAGATCTTCCCCGAGTCGGCCATCAAGTTCCTGTCCTACGAAATGTCCAAGAGGGCCTTTGCCAAGTACGTCGATGGCGTTTCCGACTCTCGAGACATCAGCGGGACATCGCGCTTCATCTCGGGAGGAATCGGAGGTATCAGTTCACAGCTGGCCATCTACCCGGTTGAGACGTTGAAGACGCGTTTGATGTCCTCGCAAGGATCCAAGGCTCCCATCAGTCCCAAGACTGGCCAGAGGATGGTCGGGGAGGAGCTTCTCAAGGCCACCGCTCGCGACATGTGGAAGGCTGGGCCCTGGAAGACGTACTACCGAGGTCTGACACTTGGGCTGGTGGGCGTCTTCCCTTATTCGGCAATCGATATGAGCACGTTTGAAGGTATCAAGCTTGCTTACATTAGCTGGTCTGGCAAGGAGGAGCCGGGTACATTGGCCCTGCTGGCCTTTGGAAGTATCAGTGGAAGCATTGGAGCTACCACCGTCTACCCTCTCAAGTGAGTACGATGCCTGCGTCCATCCAAGACGTAGGGAGATTCCCCTCACTAACCTTTGCCTC